ATCACCTGTGTCCAGTTTATTTTCCTTTCAAAATCAAATCAACTTTATTGAGATACAACATATATAACAAAGCACACTGACTTTAAGCATACAATTTTTTTTTAGTTCTGATGAACGAATACCCCTATAACTATCCTCACAACCAAAATATCCATCATCTCTAAGAGTTTTCTCTGCCTCCCAGAGGTAAATCCCTCTGCAAACTCCAATCCCTAGCAGCCACAGTCTGCTTCCTGTCCTTGGAGGAAAGTTTTACCTGCTTCAGTGTTCCATTTCAGCAAAAGCTCTGTGCTTGGCTTCCCTTAGTGGCGGGAAATACTTGTGCTTACTGATGGCTGGTGGTCTGAACATTATGCACAGTTCAAAAAATTTGTTTAACCACTTACCTACCATGGGCACCTGAACGACTATTTGAAGATTTTTTTTTTCTATTATGAAAACTACCTGGTCCCTTTCTTTAATCTCAAAGCTAAGTCTTTCCCATCCTCCAGATGGGATAGGAAAGAGGCCGAGTGCCATGTTCCACACAAGCTAGTGTGCTTCGGAATCCGAGGGGGACTTTCAGAACGCCAGATGCAGGTTAATGCCTGCAGAGTTCCTGAATCAATTGATGGGGGGCGGGGCAAGAACGCGATTCTAACAACAGATGCTGCCACTCTGGGGAACACCTGGCCTTGATGGCCTTGTAGCATCCTTGAAGAACAGGAGGTTATGTGACCATGGTGTGAGACTGTACTCATCTCAAGCCTCGTTTATACACAACTCTATTTACTGTTCAGACAAACAGAAGCTTTATTGAGGTGTCTGTGATACCATAATTCAGTTGTTTTAACTATAAAACTCAAGACGTTTTAGTACTTCAGGAAGAGCCCTCACACCAAGTTGAAGTAAATCCTTGCCTCCACCTCCCCCAGCCCCAGAGAGCAATCTACCTCCTGTTTTCACACATTTGCCTTTCTGGACAGTTCAAGTAAATGAGAATAGTGGGCTTTGTGCTTGGCATTTCAAATGCGATGTTCTTGGAGACCCCTCCTATTGTTGTGTTCAGCAACCCTTTATAGAACACAGTGGGTAGTGTTTCATCTGACCAGGTAGCTATACCTCTATTCATATGATATACTCATTTTGTTCAGGTGTTCATCTGCTCACAGCCACTGGGCTTGTTTTCTAGCACTTATAATTGATACTTAGTGAACACGTATATGCAAGCCCATGGAGAGATGTAGATGTTCATTTCTCTTGGGTCTAGATTTATGAGTTGCATTGTGGTCACATGGTAAATTTATATTCAATATTTAAAGAAACTGATAAACACTTTCCAGAATGGCTGCGCCATTTTGTATTCCCTCCACCGATGTGTGAGCATTCTACACGGCTCTCTAGATTCATTTTATGTGGGGCATATGAGAGAATTTGAGCTCCACCATTGCGCTGTGTTGAGGACTCTACTTGAAATACCGATCCGTGACTACTCACACAGTAGCAAAGTATAAGATGGCCAACATCAGTTTCCACACTGGTTGCACATCAGAATCATCTGGGGATGCTTTCCTAGTGAGGGTGAAGGTTCAGATCAGGTACTGAAAACAGTGAACATCCACTGTAGGCCAGGGCAAACAGATGCTGGGCTTTTAAAACTGCCAGGTGATTTCAGTGAGCCAGCTGATAAGCGCTGATGAAAAAAAGTCTCCCTTGTTGAGCCACTCAATGAGATAACGAGGCACACACTTAAGGGCTGAAGAAAGACACGGTCTACAGGACATACTGAATGGAAAGAACAAAAGGGATGGACTGTCTGGTCAATAGTGGCTTCTATGATTAGTTCCCTTACACATTTCCTGATATCTGGCCATGAAGCAGAGGAGAACCGATAACTGAAGGGTGTGGGATTAAGACTGTTTGTTTCTAAGACTTGAGCTGTTTAAAGTCAGTGGATAGCCAGAAAATCTGGGGCAGGGGTGACTGGTGGGTAGCATCTGTCAGGGAGGAGTTGTCCAGACCCTGCTGGAAACACCCTACTTTCATTCTTTTTTTATATAATTTATTATGATTTATTTAACTTGATTTTATGTGCATTGGTGTGAAGTTGTCAGATCCCCTGGAACAGGAGTTACAGACTGTTGTGAGCTGCCATGTAGGTGCTGGGAATTGAACTGGAAAGAGCAGTCTTAACCGCTGAGCCATCTCTCCAACCCCCCTTCTTTCATTCTTGCAATGGCCTTTCTTTTCCCTTGCTTCCAACTGAACACAGCCCCCTGCTTTGCAGAGACAAGCAGGTCCTGTTACTGGATTTCCAGGGAGGCCCTTTCTCCCCCTCCTGTTGGCTACATTGAGAGTTTCTGGATGGTGTGCCCCCTTCAGCCCCTAGTTCATGTTTTTCTTCCTTAGCAATTCTGGGTCCCAAGGTTTAAGCCACCACCCTTAATCTGAGGAGTTCCTTGACCCTTCCCTTAGCTCCTCACTTTCCTGTTTCTTCATTAATACTAAATAGGCTTGGCACAGGGTCCTCAGGCCCAGCTAGACTGGCCGCTGCACCTAGGCAGGCATGCTGGCCTCGCTGTGGCCAGCTTGTCCCCTGGCTTTTCTGTGGTTTGTTCTTGCCTTTCACCTTTCAGCTCACATTTCGTTCCTCGGGACCTCTTTCCCGACCACCGTGTTTAGACTGCTTTCCATTCTGAGCTCTTTCCTGAGTGTGGACTTGCACCCATTCAGGTGATTCTCTGATTGTCCCTGTCTGCGCACACTGGGCTCCAGGCCACAGCAGAGCAGGAGTCACTTCCGTTTTTGCTTGTGTTTCATCCCGGCTTTAGCCGGTGCTCAGATTATTCTTTTGTTCCTAGGACCCACAGGATTGGAGTGAAAAGGCGTAGTAGACTAGACAGCATCTACCCCAGCGTTATCTACCTGAAGAAACCATTATCTAAATGGTTAGAGGAGGGGTTGGTGCAGGGCCGTAATGCTGGCAGACGGCCCAGTCGGTACAAACCCTTACTTGTCTCTGGGCCACTGATCTTTCCTCCCCACCAAGCCACTATTCAGTACGGATACTGCAGTAATAGTCTCTGCTCTTCCCTTATTTTTTCTTCAGTGAATCCTAAGAGCTGTGGATGGTATTTAAACTGCTTTTGTGTGTGTTCGATTCAATAACAAACATCAAACCACTGGTGGCCAACAAAAATCGTGTCTTTGAAGAAAGGGATTAACGCCGTTTTAAGGACTCCCATCTCTTATTGTCTCACACAGGCACCTGACAAAACTGGCCAGTGAACTCCAGGGCAACTCCTTCCCTGAATCACCCAGGCTGAAGCCCAATCAAGAGAAAAACTATGTAAAAGGCTCACAAACCTCATGTTTCCTCTCTGGAAAGCGTGAGCTCACTAGGGAGAGCTGCAGCCCCATGTCTTTCGTTGCAGCAGGCGATCATTTTCTGCTCCGTCAGGTTATCCTTTGATTATCCAAACTGATTGGGACAGTATCCCCTAAGCGGCTTTCTCTAGTTTTCTTTTGTGCAGAATAAAGCAAGGCGCGCCCTCTGGTGGTCAGCGGTGGAAACGTCTCGAGCGGGAGCGATGCATTCCGTAGATAAGAATCCCTGAGTTCCTGGACTCCCCTCATCTCAAAAGTCCTTAAAACCACCCTAACAAAATGGTTTATACCGCTTTATAACTACCAGATCTTTCTGAATCTATGCTTATTCTTTTACAGCCCCTCTTGCCACAGAGCCCGGACATGATGCAGAACGCAGGTGCGCCTTTGTTAATCGGGCGCACACAGTGAAGAGGAGACAGGAGGATCTGAGGGAGCCATGAACGTGGCTTCTGTAGGAGGAATTCTGAGCTCTATTAGATAGCTCTGTGCTTTCTAAGTAACCAAGAGGGCAAGGCGAGTCTCCTGAGTGTACTGCTGGGCCAGGGGCCTGGGACTAGGGCAGGTAATGGAATGTTGGTAATTGCTAAGCTTGGGCTATTCGCACACCTATACGGCTTGGAGACAGAAGAATGAGGGTGGCCAGAAGGAAATGGATGACATATTCGTAATATGTATGAGTGTTCAAACTCTCTCACCAAGCAACCATGTTAAGAAATACAAACTGTGCTTGAGGCGGGAGGAGGTCTGAGCTGGTGGAATGGGCTGGTCATCACAGAATGGGCAAATTGGGCACTTTTAAGCAAGAACACAATGGGATTTCATTTCCATTTCTCAAAATACTGGAACTATCTTTTTTTTTTTTTTTTGCTTAGCCCCTAACCCTTCATTAAAAATTCTGGATTATGCTGTTTTATCAATTCTTATATTTAGTTTTGTGATAATGTCCTAGGCCTTTCAAAAATAAAGCAAAAAAAGTCAAAATTTCTTCAAAACCTTTTTGAAAATCAGGTTTGAAGGAGCTAAAACTCAGTCTGGTCACATGTTCTTGCTCTGTGCACAGACGATCTCTAGTTACACCTGGTCATTCCCACTCCGCTGGGAACACAACAGAGTTCAAAAGAGGGAGGGATGTTAAAACCACGTTTAATTTTGAATACAAGTCTGTCATAATCTGCAGAAGTGACTTCTTCATGCACAGAGACACTTAGCATCTCTGGCTGGAAGAACACATGTATTTATTTTTTCTCTGAAAAAACACTGAAGTAACTTTAGTCTCTGTGCTTTCTGGTGTCTAGGCAAGCCTGTCTTATTCTTTGTATTTCCCACTGATAGGCTGGTTGGGGACAGTAAGTGTGAAGCCATGAGAGTATTTAGGGCTGTTTCATCTAGGGATCACTTGAAAGCAAGTTTTACCTGTATACATCAAAGACGCCAGGTAACAAATCCTACTATACTCCATCGGTTAATGCTGGGGATCTCGGTCAGAAACCCGCTGACACCGTGGGAGAAAATAGCTCGCGATTTCAGTTTCACAGCAAAAGAAGAGGGGGGGAAACCCGAAGTAGGCATTTGCTGTTTTCACACCCTTACACTGCATTAATTGATGAGCTTGCGTCTCACACAGCAGAACATAAACATTGCTCGCGTGTTTATTTGCACGTAACACCTCTAAGCATAGAGCATCTACACTTTCCGCATATTTACAAATTCAACAGAATATCTACATAGAAAAAGCTTTACTTAAAATTAAACTTGATGCAAGTTATGAGAAACCAATTTATTGGCAAGTGAATTTGAGCATTCCTTCAACCATAGGTTGTCATAGATTTTTATATTGGAGGTAAGTCATCCCATATACATCGTTTATGACTATGGTAAGGTATATGCATTTATTCTTTAGGCTGCAGCTGTAATCCCTTTGATTGCTGGCCTAATTAAGCACTTGTCAGATTTTGCAGATTCTGGAGTGTGCCTGTTGCAGTTTGCACATACACTGTTGAGTGCTGCAGTCTGGAAGCTCATATAGGTATACTGGAATCTCTGTTCGCATGCTGCTGTGTGTTTCAGTTCTAGAATCATGTGTTTTTCATCCATTTTCAACCTCGATTTTCTTCAACAAAAGACCACAGGCCCATCATGTTCTCAGGCTGATGACAAAGCTTTCTTTGCTTTTGATATTTATAGGGGAAAGCCCCTTCAAATAAACTTGTTTTTACTTTCCCAGCTTTCCAGCACTTCGGTTCTCACTGCCAATGCCTTTTTAAAGTTCCTCCCTCCCAACAGCAGTCACACAGGGTGGAGCTGCTCAGATTGGCCAGTCTAGAGCACAGGCGTCAGGGGACGCTGAGTATCTGAAGGCACTGCACGAGGCTCGCCCTGCATCTTCTAGACTAAGATCTGAAATCTAACTTGAGAGTTTTGTCTTCGGTTCTTTCTGTATGGCACACACGCCAGAAGGGATCACAAAATGTCATGTTTATGCCCCCAAACAACTGGACACAGAGAGCGTAAGCAGTGGGACACTGCCACTGTAACCTGGAAGGTTAAGAAGCCTAAGAAGTAACAGGAGCAAAGAAGAGGTGGCGGAGCCTTGGTGAGCATTAGCAGATGTGTCTGTCATAATTAATTCACATAGGAAGTATTTACTGTACACACTGTTCCTAACAGTCTCCCGGAAAGACTAACAACAGCTAGACATAGTCACGAGTTTCACAACAATGCCCACAGAGACATTGGAGCTCTAGAGAACGCTACAGGAACACTCTCCACAATAACAACGGAATTCATAGTTAGGGTTCAGCTGAGAATAGTGGCACTAAGTACCTGACCATGTCGCCATCACATCCGCGGTGTGGCCTCAGTGCGGCATGTTTCATGCAGCTTATGGAGCTGTATCCCGCACAGGGAATGATGGGCGCTGTGGATGATGATGTTGGATTGTTTTTTAATCAGTTCCAAGGAAATTGAGAAAACCCACTCTGAGCAACAAAAAGTATGCACGTTGCACCCCAGTTCACATAAACGTATCGCGTGACTGAGTTGTGTTCTTGCTTTGCTCTCATAATACTCACAGACAGCAGAAAAATCCTTTCTACCCACGTGTCCATAGGCTGAGAGGGACGAGAAGAGCTCAGGAAAGACATTCCAGAGAAATGGGACATTGGCGCAGAGCCTAAAGACTTAAACAAAGGAGTTCATGGCGTTGACAGGTGAAGGGGCCTCTGAGCTCTCATTGCCCTCGGCTGGTTCTTTCTCTTTCTTACCACTGTATTGTCCAATAAAGGAGCCATCCTCATTGAACTGGCCATTCACCCCCTCGCCATAGTCAACCAGGCTATCGTCACTGTCTTCCTTTTTCACAGTCCTGTCTGAAGGTGTTCGGCTTCCTTTTTTCAAAGGCTTGTGGTCTTCTGCATCGCTGGAAAAAAAAAAGAAAAAGAAAAAACAGAAAACATTTCAGTAAGACTGGCATTGCTTGAGGCGAAGTGCCTTGTTTTTACAGATCGTGCATGCAAATTATGAAAAAGCATATGGAGTCCTGAGCTGCTGCGGCCAGATCTAACTGCCAGGTGGACTCCAGAGGCGAGGGCCCTACTGCAATGGAGATCAGGCACAGAGATGGTTGGATCATGGTCTGCAGCAGAGAAGATGGCTTTTCGATTATGCATGCTAATTTAAATGAGAGATTCCGATGCCTGATTGGAAGGCAATCCAGGAGCAATCACGAGCATTAAAAGGGGGAGGTTTAAGGACAACAGAAACCCATCACTGTTTCAATTCAGAGGAGCAGGGCAGAGCTCAGGACAGTGGCCAGTTAGTGTGTTAAACTGTAGAACATCTCTGATTCCTTGGATGCAAATGGAGCATGATTTTGGTTACATGTGAAACATGGATTGTTTTTTCCTAAGCCAGAAGGAGAAGCAGAATCCTGCAGTTCAAATAATTTTGTTATTGAGTGCAGGCCAGATTCGTGAACTTCTGCCTTACCTTTCAAAAGACCTAGAAATCCATTAAAAGGAGGCAGAGGAAACAAATGAGAACAGCCTAAGAAGAGAAGCACAATCCTTATATGGATAGGTCACAATATTTTTTTTCTGAAGAATTTTTGGTCATTGGGTAAAGATTTATTAATGTGGAAAGATAAATACTGTACATTAAAAGCACTATACTTGAACCATAAGCAGCATGCTTCCAAACACTAAAGGGGGTGAGTGCTTCCAAGCTCACAAAAACAAATATGTCCTATCTTCTGATTAACCAGTTTCTCACATCTCCTCTGTGCTATGCACACACTACAGGGTCCAAGGCTTGTACCTCGGCAAAGCATTATGGGAGCCCATTATTATTTTGCTTATTTCTTTGCTGAACCCTTAAGCACAACTTCTGAAAGCAAAAGAGTGTTGATTGTGTTTAAGAATGTCCACAAACATGCCCACATATGTCATTGAATTTAAGATCATCCACTAATAGGGTCATATACATAAGAACAGTGACTGACTCCTTCACAGGTAACATTTGGGAAAAAATAGCCAAAAACTGTGTGAAATAGGCTCTTACTTGTCTAAGAGCCCTGATGTACTTGATGAACAAAGGGGTCACTGTAACTTCAGTATTTTAACAAAAACTGGTGCTAAGATCATTGTTAGCAAGACTGATTTTTTTTCCTAGTCAAGCTCCAAGATTTAAAGATAAATAAGTCTGTCTCCTTTGGCAATACCTTCTTCTAGCAATCTCCTACTTTTCTCTCCAAGAAAAATATGCCCAACTTTAATGTGCTATCAAAAATGACCTATTCAGCTAATACACAAGTACACACTGCCATCTGAACAATCTGCACAACTTGGTGACATCAGAGGTCATTGAGGTGGCCTGTTGAGGGGAGCATTTCAGAGGACATAACACCCACAAAACCCAACGTATTATAAAAGCAGCTTACATGACATCTTTGAGATTTAGCTGTGAACTTCTGCACTTTGCTTGAATACCTCTAATGTGTATGCCCCTCAAGAGTTCAATGACAAGCAGCATTTTGCCACCTGAGTTCCACTTATTACTCTACTTAGTGGAAATAACAGCCCCAGGAATACATTATAGGAAGATGCTCATTATGTCATTTCTTTGATCCTATCTTCCCTTCATCTAACATTCACTAAGTACCTACTCTAAGGCAGATGTCATTCTGGCTTTGGGATATAGAAACAAGCAACACAGACTAAAATGCTGACCTTATAACCAGTGGGGGTAAAGTGCAGTTAATAACCAACATGGTAAGGAAAATTCATTATGCCAAATGATCAGTACTGCAGAGAATCTAGAGTTGAGTAAAGAGAATGGAAGAGGAGGCGGGGCGGACAGAAGCTATCCAGGGAAGGTCTTGTTCAAAAGCACCATCTGATCAAGGGCTAAGTTGGCCATGGATGACTAGAACAAGATCAACTATGGCAAAAGCATCAAGCAGCACAGATGATCTGTGGCAGGGCAGGCCTGATATGTTCTAGAAACAGCAAGGATCTTGCTGTGGCAAGAACTGAATGCGTAAGTGAGAAAGAGAGTAGTTGGAGGTGGGAGGTGTAGGCCAGGGTTCCATGGACACTGACAAGCCTCTGTTTAGGAGATGGAGGTGCTGGGGGCGGGTGTCTATGGGTGAGAACTGCAGTCTGACCCATATTACTCCAAATGCATGAACTCGGTCATCCAATGTTGACAGTAGTCTGCCTTGAGAGAAGGGGTTGACAAACTTTTGCAAACTGGAGCCACACCCACTTGTGACTTCTTTACTGCTGATGCTCATGGCTCCCTTTCTGCTACATCAGTAGAATTGCAGGTAAGACTATGTGGGCTACAAAATCTAGAACATTGGCCAGGGGCTCTTGAAAAGGGAGAGTCTGCAAAGCTCTGCAGTAGAGTCATGAGATTGTTTCCATCATCTTGGAGAGAGATGACTCTAGTTTGGACCAGGGTGGAAGGTTGAAGAAGTTTATACAGAGTGCTCAGCTTGTGGTCGTATTTTGGAAATAAGAGAAAGGAGGACTTCCTGATGGATTGGTTATGTAGCAACAAGGAAGATGATGGCATAAGGGTGTCTGGAAGAAACCAGAAGCTTGGCATTACTCCCATTCACTGTGCCGCAGAGCATGCTCAGAAAAAGATCCAAAGTTTGACTTGCACTTGTTAAAGCTTGTCCATGTCAGAAGCTCTGTAATCATGTTGTGGGACTTTTTAATGACAATGATATTTAAAACCAACAAAAAATGCCACAAAAAAGTCAAGCTATAGGCGGATGCAACTCATGAACTTGGACAAGAGGACCTGAACTTATAACAAGTCAAATGTAGACAACCACTGAAGAGATAAAATAGCATATACAAGTTGGATCAAGTTTAGGAATGCAAGTTTGACTTAGAATGAAAATATAATTTATAAAATTTAACATTTTTACTTTTGTAGAAAGAAAGTAAAACCATTATCATCACAGTAGATTTAAGCAAAGGAATATGACAGAGTTCAACACTCATTCATGAAAAAAACTTTAATACCCTAGAAAGGGAAAGCGTTTCTATTAATCTTGTTAAGGATGCCTATGTGAAAACTATAGTAAACAGAATCCCTGATGGCCACTGCTGAACTGTTCTGCTTGGAATCATAAATAATGGTAAGGACGGTCTTGTCTCCTCTTCCTTATCTCTCTCTCTTCCTGTTACTCATCCTCTCCCTCCTTTATGTTGTTGGAGAGAGAGTCCTATGTAGTCCAGGCTGGCCTAACACTCTCAACCTTGCTCTGTAGCTGAAGATGGCCTTGAACTTCTCATATTCCTGGCCTTGCCGCCCAAGTGTTAGGAATACAGACATGGGCTACCACATTTGGCTGTTTTCAGCACTACTAATGAAAATTACCCAGGAGTATCGAGCAATACGATGAGAAAAAACAATGACACCTTTCATACACCCATCAAGTTGTTGGTAGTTCTCTATATCCATCACTAGATTATAAACTCCCAATGAGGGGCCAAATTCTATTGTGCTCAAGTTTTCTAAGATCTATAGTACACACTCTAGAAACATCCATTGGGTAAACTTATGTTAAAATCACAATAGAGGAAACCAAGAATATTTCAGATATCCTTTAGAATTCTAACATTAAATTTTTTCATTCCTTCTTAATGTTATGGTAGCAGACAAAGCATTAGCTTGTATTTTTTATTCTTCCATACTGAGAATACATTTTAGGGAGTTCATTCATTTCTTTCCCTGTGGTGCTTGGTTCACATCCATGAAATGTTTACCAAAATAAAAACCAGCAACCGTAAATAAGTCTGATAATTACATATGATTTTCTTGCAGCAACCATTCAATTATGATCAAATTACACAACGGTGTTATTGACATACATGCATTCAAACCTTGTGCTGGCGCACTTTCAAAGTTCATCATTATTTTCTTACATCCAGTTCATATTTGGGAGCACGATAAGCTTGAAGTATGTAACAAGTGAAACAGCATGGCTTGTATCAGCCAGACTTTGAGAAAGAGTTAGCAAGCTGGCACCAGGGCTGTGGTCATATGAATAACAAGATTCCCATAGCAAAATTCTCCATTTGAGCAGTAAATCACACAGCACAGGCATATACAGTTTACAGCCTAGGCTCACTCTTGTTTTTAAAGAGAATGCATCTAAAGAATAAGGAAATACTTACATAGTTGGCTGCACTGTTTCTTTGATTTTTCTATATGCTAGTAAGGATGCAGATCCTACTGTCTGTATAATTAAAGAGACAAACAAAGAAAGCTGCAGGCTTCTGAGAGAGGGTAGCTGCTTAGGGATGGGTGTTGGACTGAGGGTATGGGGATACAGTATATGGGAAAAAAAATCAGATTTGGCCATTATGGGAGTTCCATCCCTCTTTGCACTACAACATTTTCTCTGGTTTGGAGCCAACCAGGTAGAATTGTTCCATCCTCAGGCTAGAGAATGTGTGAAACACAAATGGAATTAATTTACATTTTGGCAATAGTACTAATTGTGCGTCAGCACGAGACTAGCGTTATAATTCTTTTTCAGAATTCTGGAGACTAAGATTCAATAAAAAAATACAGAGCTCGAAACTTCTAGCAGGTGCAAAGTAGAGAAAGGACCCCGGTGATTTAGGGAAAAGAATAACACTCAAATGTACCATTACAACAAATAATTCTCCATAAATAGTTGGAACGTTTTCATTAATTATGACTCTCAGATTGAAAGGGCCTAAGTGGGAAGAACCAACGGGAATAAAGCTGAGGAAATATCTGAGTGCCTAAGGCCAAGGTCGCATCGACAACAATGGCCTGGAATCTGGGAGATGCATTTTCACATGAATGATTCACGAACTTGAAAATTCATTCAAAATCACACCTCCGAGTTGTGCTTTGAGTTGAAGACATCCATCAAAACTGTATCCCCTTTGGCTTCTCCAGGATTAATGTCATTACATGAGCGACAAGGGTTTTTGTCTTCATGTCTATTCTATTCAATAGGCCCAAACAGAAAGTCTCTATATCCTGAGAAACTTTGGCAGAAGCCAAAGATAGCAATCTGAAAACGCTTCACAGACACAGCACACGTATGAATTAATGCTGAGACAAAGAAATGAGAGCTGTAAATCTAGTCATGACTATGAAGATATGAGCTAGACACTTGCTATGTACTGCTCCGAAAACAGAACCATGCTGGAAACTGTCGGCTCATTCATAGAGAGTAAAGCACTAAAAAAGAAACCTATGAAGATGTTTGGATGCTAGAAATTTTGTCTACATGATGATAATTGAGAAGGATATAAATTAGGTATCATAAAGGAATCGGAGGCAATGGCTAAGTTGAAAGAAAAATTAATAGCCTCTTGATTCCAAGCTAGTTCATAAGCCACAATCCTTACTTAAATCAAGGTTTAGTGGTGTTAGACTAGTCACCCCAAGTCACATTGTCCTGGATCTTGGCTGCACATCAATATAATATCAATTATATGATATTTTGAGGGCTTTGAAATGAGCAGTACATTGCCACATTTGCTTATGCATGATAAGAATATGAATCCACCAGAACGTGAAAAATGCATGGACGTACGATGGCTTATTTCTAATTCATGCAAATGTATTTCTTCTATATTGAAGATGTAGCTTCATATCAATAAACAAGGGAATGGTGTGCATAGCCTGTATGAGGTCATAGTCAGTCACATAAACTGTACAAGGATGTCCTTTAATTAGTGTCGGCTCACCTGTGCGTGGGAGAAACAGGTAGAAAAGTGAGTTATACCCGACAGAGTGCGACCCCTTGCCGAGGGCTATGCACACTGGGGGCTGCTCTCCTGCACTGTGGAAAACTGGTCATAGTGGGTGGGTGCTGTCTAAGGTTTGCAAACCCTCCCGGTTCCAAACCTAATACCTGGCATCACCATAACCCTTGTAAGACACTGTTAGGGTATGTTGAACTACAGAAATTGTGAGAGCTTTGAGAACTATCGGCTCTTTCTGTGGAGAAGGGGAACAGCGTAGGTGCTGAGACACTGGGGGCCCAACAAGCTCACACCTGCACGGATGCTGCGGTGAAAACTCATACTGAAATGCATGGGTTTTCTGAATCCACTTTACATTTCCTATGTTGGCATTGGCCGTGGTCCCCTTATGAATAATACTGACAAGGGAATATCAAAAATGAGATACAGAGGCAGGTAGTACCTGATGCGAATATCTATCTACAAAGGTGCCTTGGATATCACAATAGTGAATCTTTTATTTCACCTAAAAGTATTTTCTTCTATAAAAATAGCCACAATATGAGCTTCACATATATTTAGAAGATTATATTTTATGTTATCAAAAACTAAGTTATAAAGGGTATTCCATAAGTAGAGTTATTTGAGGGCGTTAAATACATGATAAAACTTACTCCGGTTTTAGTGATGTTCTAAAGTAATCATTCCTCTCTGTGAAAGACATGAAGTATCAAGGCAAGAATAGTTTTGTGTAAAGGGAATTAAAAGAAGGTAGACAGGTTGTGCTAGATGCTTTTCTTAATATAGAGTTAAATTAAGACTGCAGAATTGGCGTTCATTGAGGTAATGTTCTCCATGAATGGCTGTGACAATTCTTAATCATTAACAGCTCTAAAATAGCCTATTTTATGGACTAAAGGTCAGGGGGATGGGTCTTATTAAAGAAAACGCTTTTATTAATCTGAGATTAAAAAGTCTTGGGGCCGGGCATGTAGTTCAGAAGTAGAGCACTTGCCTAGTCTGTGTAAAGCTCTGGGTTTGGTCCCCAGCACACACATTTACATCCACTTTCTCTCTCCCTTGAAACACCTACAAGACTGAGGTAGTGGAGTTTCTCTCTCCCTTGAAACACCTACAAGACTGAGGTAGTGGAGTTGTGAGTCTGGAGCCAGCCTGGCCTATGTACTGAATCCCAGGCTTTCCTGAACTACATAATGAGATTCGGTCTCAAAACTAAAGTGAAACAGAAGCAGAGGGCAGTCCCGCTAACGTTGGTTTTATAAATGCATGTCTCCCTCACACTGTGAGCTGTGCAGGATTCTTTGTGTTCTCACTGCAACAGAGTGACAATCCTAGACTGAACAGCATAGCTCACGCCTCCAGAAAAGATAATATTCTGATCCTAAACATATGACGACAATGGAAGTATTTTTTTTACAAGGATACCTATGTTTTAATGACAAGCTTTTAGTCACAATATTTTAATCAAGAAGGAGGATATATTGACATGGACTTTTTTTCTAAATTAATAACTGTCAGGCAGGGCCCGCTAGTCACCTGTTCTCAGAACTCAGTGAGTGTCTGAGGGTAGTGTCTAGTGGGGCAGGAAAAGCAGGGCCAGAAGGAACAAGGGCTCACCTGTACTCTCCAAATGTCCCATCATCTTCCTTCATGGGCTGGATTTCAGGGTCTGCATGAGCATCCTCCTTCTCTTTAACTGAAAAGTTTGAAGGACAGCATTACCCATTGATCCTGAACTTCCTTATTTAGTATTTGCAGGGGTGAGCTGAGATGTAGAGGAAGGATAATATCTACATACGTAGATTCCATGCAGACATGTTTCTGATGTGGCCTTGAGTATGCTTTGATATTTACTAGATCAATGTACACATCAAGATACTTCAGTTATTTTTCCCCAATGAAGAAATGATTTTTAAGTTTCTCAAATTTCTTCTATATTTTCCAGTCTATTTATGAGCATATTGATGGTGACAAACATTTTTGTAAACATGCTCTTATGTAGTGTTTTAAAAAATTAATGTTTTTAATCAGAGGATGAAATGGTCAAGTCAAGAAGACAGGAATTCATCAACCTTGCAGGGACCATAATGCAATGTCACACCAGTTCTTGTATTCTGAAAATTGTACACGCTGTCCCCTTCTTCTCCTTTAAAGTGATGTTAGGTCCTACTTCAGTATTTATAACCTTTTGGGTCCTATGGAAACAGGCTTCCTTGGAGAACTAACTGACATATTTCTCCATGCACCCTAGGACCCGTGATAGTCTCCACAATATAAAGAGGGGTCAAAATGGTTTGACCAAGAAATTCATCGTATGGCTCTAAGAAGGTACGCTGTGCCTTTTCCTATCTCCATTATTCTTTTCAGTTTAGCAGGTAAATCAGCAGCATTAGAAAACGTTTTAAATCCTTCTTACCTGGATATTTACCACCCTTGTTTCTTCTGACGAAGCAAACGATCAGCAAAATTAAGATGAGGAGTGCGACGGCACACATTAGACCTATGAACCAGCCCTGGGTCGCAATATCCACTTGCCGGCTTGCCATCGCTGCAAAACAAACCAATGGCAGCAGAAGGAATGGGTTAATGCCAAGGTCAGTTCCATGCTGGTCTCTTCATTAAAAAACAGTTGCCACAGTATATGGGCCTTTATTTACTTTTCACAGGATTCCAAATTGGAATCTGTCAATCATCGTAGAGAAATGACAAACTTAACTTTAAAAAGGCTTCATTATGTAAACATTGAACTAGAGAAATCCCGATGTTAATGAGATTAAATGCTGCCGCACCCTGATAAACACTAGATTCACACTTACTGCAGCTACACACTGTCAGTAGAACTACATTTTCAAACCAATTAAAATCTATTATTTGGGAGTGTAAAGTGGATATGATGTATGAAAGGAATATAAAATTGAATTTTAAACAAAAGAGAATGCATACATCTAATGGAGTATTTTCTCTTCAAAAGAAACTACCTTGGAAGACTAAAATATCAGTGAAAGAATGAAGTTCTTTTTTCAGTGTTTAGAAATCTCAAAAAAACAAAGGGGGGGGGGAGAGAAAAGAAAAGAAAATGGCCCATGCAAGAAAGCCACCGATGAACACCAGAACCATTATTTTACACAACACCTCCATTTCTGAATGGAAATCCTGAGAATATTAAATCTATTCTCAAAGTATCAGTAATTGTTATTGTCTGGGCTCTATTATCCAAAGAACCTCAAAATATATTTGATCAACAGAATCATTATTGGAATAAATTAAGAGTTTGAAGAGAAAATACTCATTTACATGCATACAATTCTTTATTTCTCCATCTATTCTGTCTGAGTAAATGATGTGAAACTTTTTTATTCAGCTACTCATAGTATGCAAAGCCCATAAGAATGGTTCAGGTTTTATGAAAAAGTGTCAGCAACAATGGACAAAGTGCAGTATCAGTGGCTACTCAGACATACCCACGAAGATGGGTTTAAATGTTTGCATGAACCCTTTATTAAAGACCTTTGCTTTTTCTTTTTAACCATAAACGACATAAAAGGTTTTATTCTTCTGCATCCATACATATGCCTATAGTGTGCCTTTAATCTGAGTTTCTTCTGAAAAAGTTTCACCATTGGGTTAGATGTGCATGGTCTCTGGATGCAGAAATAATCACAACCCAGGTTTCCCATAGGCACCGAAAGTAGCATCGCATTGTGTCATTTTTGCCACAGGCGGGGGGGGGGGAGGGGATGGTTGAAATCAAGTGTGAAATGAAATGTAAAACAACGTCTGGAGATATGTTTAAGAGATACGATCGAAATGGAAATATATTATTTGGAACATAAACTGAAGGCCAAAAGCCCCTCTCTGTCTCATTATTCAGAGGGTTTTTTTGAGCTGTACTGTAACCAGGCACATGTAGAACTTGAGTACAAACAGCTCTGGCTTTCATACACATGTCACAGTGGTGGCAGTAGTGATGATGACATCAGTGGTGGTGGTAGTGATGGTGGTGGTGGTGGTGGTGATGGCAGTGGTCTTGCTGATGACGAAGTCAATGGTGGTAATGATGATGTCAGTGGTGGTGGTGATGGCGGTGGCTGTGGGGATGGTGATGATGATGTCAGTGGTGATGATGATGGTGGTGGTGGTAGTGATGATGATAACAACAGCTAACAACTTGGACCACTCTTCTGTGCTAAGAACTGTACTGAAGGCAGGATGGATCTCTTTTAATCCTCACAAAAGTCCTCTGAGATGGGCATTATGATAATCCCAAAGCCAGAGAGGGTGAGAACAAGAGATGCCCCAAGAGATGGAAGGGACCTAATGTCTGTCTGTCCTGTCTAGCTTCAGTTAGTGAGCATGCTACTAAGATTTTTTAACTGTCCTGATATAATGCATTCCTGAAAACATGTCCAGACACCGAATCCAGAAATGTCTGAATATATAATAGGCAAATTATTGGAAAACTCCATTAAATTCTCTTTGGAAAAGTAGTCTTGGCAATTTGTACAAGATCTCTGCACACTTTTATTCAAAACTGAGTCCCAAACCACATGACAAAAGTTATCCGAATCATGGGAGTCCTTGATTATAGGATGCCTAATGAATTATGGCATTGTTATAAATAGTTTCAGCATCTATATCTTTCATTAAATCAAAGAAGACTGGTGGAATAAAAATGTGAGATGCTCAAGAGTTAGCGCTGACACTGCCTTCCACAAATGGAGGCTTTTACAACTGAACCACTTCCCAGCAGCTACTCCTGAGTAGCTGTGCAAAACTGGCTGCTCCCTGGATAGCTGGCCAAAGATTTTCATGTTAACTTTGAATTTTTGCTTTTATATCAAAGAAAAGAGTGCTTGGCATTTCTCCGATCTATTACTTAAGACTAGCCAATCATAACAAGTGAGCAGGTGTATACATTCATACATACATACATACATTCATACATACATACATACATACATACATAGACGGAAACAGACAGACACAGGTGAAACCTAGGGCATTTTCCTTCTTAGAAAAAGGGGTTTGACTGTGAAGTAACTCTCATAGACCCAAGTGTTTGAACACGTGGTCCCCAGCTGCTGTTGCTCTTTTGGGAGGTTTTCAAATCTTTAAGAGGTAAAATGTTGCTGAAGAAAGTGTAGGTCAGCAAAGATAGGTCTTGGAGTTGTATTGTCTCGTCCCCCAATCCTAACTGCCCGAATTCTGGTCTGCCAAGTTGTGAGCAAGCAGCCTCAGGCCCTGTTGCAATAGCCACTTGCTACTCCCCTCACTCTGCTGTCACCGCCTTGATAAACTGGACTCTTAACCACTGACCAAAATAAATCCTTCCTTCCTCAGTTATATCCTGTCAGGTCACAGCAAAGGAAGAGGCCACTGACATAGGTGGGTATTACTTATAAAGGGAAAGTAGATTTTCTTTTCATCTGGAATTTCTATAGTTAAAACATATGCTTGAATTATTGGCAAGGTGATAATTAAACTAACACATATAAGGAGTATTCAAATACAAAATAAGGCAGAGAAGTGAAGAGGCTTGCCTTGATGCCTAGAAGTTTCAGAACAGTTTGCTGTTCTTATTTTGCTTGGGGTGACATGGATAGCCTGTGCTGCAAGGTGGGATATCTCTGAGGAAAGTGTTCTTTGGTCCTCCAAATCATAGAGGGAGATATATGATTACTATTTATGAAGAATTCGCAAAGCATGGAAATGTTCTGTCCAGTTAAAACAGTCAGAAATGGAAAGAATGAACTTGACAAAAGCCTGAAGAATCAACAGAAACGAGTTGGGCCCAAGAACGGATCTGTCTTAAGTCCCTGATGATGGAAGAGAGGGGCTCCACAACTGAGGGGTGATGTATAAGGAGGCCAGAAGGGCAGTGTGGGGGAGAGATGGGGCAGGAACAGAGCAGAGCACCAGGCTCCCCACGGTCCTGCGGCCTTCTGTCTCAGTGTGTGCTGCCTGGCACAGGCAGTGGTATCCTAGTCACAGACTTCAAAGGTGGAGATAATACCATGTACTGAGAACTCTGCAGGAAAAGTTGAGTTCCTGGAACGCAGCCCACCTGGAACGCAGCCCACGGACAGAGTCAAGACTTAGCCAAATGCTTTGCTTCCCTATTGAATGTTGATGCCCTAGGCTTTGAGGAATCAACCTAGTGCGGGAAGACAGTCAGAGTAGCAGAGAGAGTGTTTACATGGAATACATTTTATGACCCTAAGGACAGAGCCCTGCCCCTTGGGAGGAGGGGATTTGTTATTTTGGGTCATTACTAGAACTATCAAAACTGCTCTTTCTAGTTGTCAGTGAGTAAGTAAAAGGTCGTGCCTCATCCTAACACTATCAGTGGCTTACAGTAATGTCCCGTGTCCCTCTCGTTCCACTCACTCATCTTGAATAAAACTAGCACATGCCGCTGGGATGGTAAACATCTCCCAATGAGGAAAATATATTTTTTTTTAAAATGAGACATCTTTGGTTTTGCAAAACGACAAACATGATGTGAGCTAATTTTGGAAGTGAATTCAATTAATCTGTAATTTGGGAGGACATGCATGCCTTAGAGGCTTAGAAAAGCCCAATAAGGAAGTATGAAGGCTCATTGAATCCACTGTTTCGGAGACAACCTGGTCCTTCAGAGGTATGCCTCTGCAACTCTGTACATGGCTGTGACCGGGACCTCTCTCTGGGACTGGAAGGTCAGACTTCTGGTCCCGGCTACCGTACTGCAGCTGTCACTGAAGACTGGCTCATGGTGCAAGGGGCGGTCCCAGTCCTCACTTTAGGGAGATGCTGTAGGGATGGAAGGAGAAAAGCACTTGCGTGTCGTGCAGTAGGCTGACTAAATTCTGTATGTGATTCCCAGTCTAGCTTCTCGCATTCTGAAATTAATAGTCACCAGTAACAACAAGCAAAGTCTTGCCGAGCCGAGTTATTCAGAAGCCCCCCTTTCAGAATTAATTCCTTTCCTAAACTATGTATGTAAATGGATAGGAAATAGAAGGAGCCGAATAACAGGAATTTTCTTAAAACATGCTGACTTTAGCAGATGTATCTTTAGAAAGACTTACTTGGTAAATTATTTAGTACTAAGTTTGGTTTCTCTCTCTTTTAAAAAACTTTTCCTGGGTGAGTATTTTTAAATGATAAGAAATTACTTTAAAAACCATGTTTTGCTAATTCAACTAGACACTCCATCTTGTCTTTGGTTCCTACAGGCATAGGTATGTAACATCTCCTCAAGAAGGTGTGACATGACTCAGCAGAAGATGGATGTATGAATCATAGGATGAACACACACCAAACGGTTCCTGCTTCAATCTGAGAGATTATTTTCTATACTGGCAGTAAATATTTAAATAATAAATATTATTTAAATATATAAGTAAATATTATTCTTATTTACATTTTATAATCTTTTTAAAACTTTGCTTTTATCCTAGCAAACTCTGAATAGTATTAACAAAACTAAAACACATATAAACAGGCAACTTTTGCAATAAAATACAATATCAGATTTATAGAATTTCTTTTGTATAAACTTAATAACACTGTATTGATCATCTAACCAAGTTGGAGGGTTCTGCTGGGTTATAATCCATTGTGATATAAAGAATTTTTACTCTCTTAGATATAATTCCAAACTAAAAAGTATTTCAGACATTAATGTCAATTTAATTCAGGGAAATTTTAAATATGGAAATTATTATAAATTGAATTATCTACATAATGTAAGTGAAAATTATACTTCAGTCTTTTAAATGGTTGTGGTCAAGAAGGTAGTTGAAAAGGGATCTTCCCAATTTTGTAATTCATTTAATGAAAGAAGCCAAACATAATTAAAATGCAAATTCCCAACCCAACAGGGCCCCACACATGACATCCACAGCCCTGCGAACTCCACCCACACCAGCCTCTGACTAGAGTGTCTGTTGTCTTCTACTCCTGAGCATGAGCCAGAACTGGGGTGGTGTGTGCCTCACCTGGGCCTGTCTCAAACACATCCTCTGAACTCACAAAACCAGAGTCCCCCTCAGCACCAACTCGCACTTTGTATGCTGTTCCTGGCATGAGACCCTTTAACCCAAAGAAGCTTCGAGAACCATTTACAAGTTCCTTCCTCCATTCTTCTTTGCCTATGGAAATGTTGCAAAAACAAAAACAAACAAACAAAAAAGAAATTTGAACATTTCAAGGACCAGAAGTTACTTAATTCTTTACGAAAGGAAAATTGTCTCTTAAGTAAAGATTAAAACCCCTAGTGTGAGTAAATGTATCAATTTAGATTATTAAAGATCTAATTGTGTCAAATAAATCACTTAAAATGAGGAACTAAGTGAAAATACCCTCAAAGAGAAACCTATTGGACACCTAGTGTGTAAACAAATGCACAAATCCCATCCTGGCCAGTAATGTTTTTGATACAAAGAATACTGCCGCTTCTGCTCTTGTCTCACAAAATGGCTGAATTTCTCCCAAGATGTTTGCATTAATAACTATTACAAATTAAGTAGCTACAGTGAACTATGGGAAATGTTTATAAAGATTCGTAAGATGAATCTTTTGGTAAATTTAAATGCCTTTTATATCCAAGTTACAGATTCAACATTTCCCAAGTATTGCTTTTTCCGAAGGGATGGTTGTTTGCAAAAAACACGTATTTGCCCGATAAAGGCCTGAACAGGAAGTTGAATGGTGTCGAGCATTTTGTCAGATGTTTATGCAAGCATTCATTGGCCATTCAGCCTGTGACATGCAGAGCCCACTGCACTAAGAGAGGGGTGGATTCTCATGAGTCACTGGAATCTCAGCCCGCCTGCACCTTCCAGGAGACTTGGCTATATGCAAACAGAACTGACTCGGGAATACATGAAACAACAAGACAAAACAGATGCGTCTACAGTTTTGATTTTCTTCCATTTTACTCTAAAATTTGGCTGGGTTAATGTGGGTAAAACGAATTCTTTCCTTTCAGTTTGATTTCCACTGCTAGAAATTCCAGATTGAAAAAAAAAAAGTTGTCTTATGTGTACCTAAATGTTATGTGTACTTAAATGTTATTACTTTTGTCTACATGTTATATTTACAGAACCAATGTAAAGATCTCTGACATGAAAAATAACATGCAGTGAGCTTCTGACCCTATTAGTAACAGAATATTCATATTTATATATGAAATAGAGGCTTGCAGTTCACTATGACTTTATTCTAAGGATGCTGATTCTCTTGGTAGGATCAAGTTATTTTTCAATGTGGCCCATGGTAAATCCTAAACATTATTCTTAGTCTCCTAAAATGTGTCCCCCAAATTGAAAGCAGGGTAATAAATCATGTCTTACTGCCTGCTACACCATATTCAACATAAAACTTCACATGCTCTGGTCCCTCATATTCCCAACTGATATTGGCATACGTCTCAGCGGCTGCGGCAGAGAGATTGCTGATCCTGGGGTTTACTGCTCGAACTAAATACACAACAGAAAACAAAACAAACAAAACACACAAACAATCATATTGCAGCACCATACACACTGACTGAAAGATCAAACAATCGGAAGTTGTGCAAATAAAATATTAGAATTTATTATAAAAAACAATTTAGAGTTCATGCATCTTCACTTTTTGTTATAGAAAGATTCTCTCAGTTACTAAAATAGTATAATAACCATAAATAATGGCATATGCTATTAAAATTATGAATTCTAGTACATGGTTTCTAAGTAATGCAAACTGCTTCGCATTAATCTGGTCCCAGTAAATATAACTGTCTTCATTTACTGATAGATATTGGGGGTTAATGAAGAGTTCTGAGTACAGAATTCATTAGAGTGTTTAGAGATATCCAGGTACCATCAGGCTACTTTTACATTTTATTTAGCTTCTCAGTGAAGATCTCCAAAGTATGTGTGTTGGGAGGAGAGAGAATATTCTCTAGAGTAGTGACTTCTGACCTGTCTTGAGTCACAGACTGAGAATCCGAGGAGCTGAGAAACCCATGTGTTAGGGGATAGTGAGTAGTGAGGGCACGCAGGAAGAACAAGGACAAAGGGGGTGGCCAACTATGCTCTGCTGGAGGTTGAGAAGCAATAGAAGGAGCGGGAACTAGCTGACCTACTACATCCCAGAGAGTGACAGTCTTGCCTGGTGTTGGTTACACAGCATTTCCTAGAGAGCATATAACAGAGGGAACAGTTTCTAAAACTCCAAATTAAAGGAGCTACATGATGCTCCCATTTGCTTACAATGGAGTAAAAAACACACGTGAAGTAAGTAGAAGTGTTGAGTATCTCCAGGCTAATTCTGTCCGGCCACCCCAATAGCCTCAACTAAAAGTTAGAACTACAGACGCTAAAATGATCAGATGCCTTTGCCACCCCAGAGAATTTATATGGGCTATGAAATCCGAGAGCACTGAAAGGTTTCATCAGACTCTAAAGTTAAATTCACAAATGTGATATAATTTAGAAGATCTGTGTTAAGTGCTGCGTAAAGGAGTGGCATTTCCTGGGATCAAAATGCAGTCTGTGGGGAGGAATTTGGGCTATAGAGGGATGGTAGAGAAATGTGTATTGCATACATGTATGGTATTGTCTAAGAACAAATGAAATTAATAGGAATAAAAAAAATTGAAAGGCATACTAAAGAAGTTAAATTACACACTTGGCCTGTGAAATAACTGAATCACAATTCATATTTTGTGGTAAGCAAAAGGAATAGCAGAGGGCAAAGTGATTTCTGAATTACAAAGAAACAATTTTAGTTTTCCCAGATTTCTTCTTAAGTAGACAACAACAAGAAAATAATCAAGAGAAGGAGTTACATAGGCCTGTGTGTAAACTATCACCAGCCAGAGCCTAGTACATACCAATCAATTTCTTATAAAAAAAATAATCTGGAATTTGGGGCTGGGACTCAGTGGGGAAGGTGTTTTCCGATGTGCACGATGCTCAACGTGTGGCCCCAGCAGGGCATCAAAACAGGTGTGGCAGCACACTCCTGCCATCCAGAGCTCAGGGGTCAGGAGCTCAAGGTCGTCCTCAGAGACACAGCAAGCTCTAGGCCACTCTAGGATACAAGGCTAGCTTAGGATACAAGAAATCATTTCTCAAAAAAATGATTATGACATCACAGAAATAAAGAATTTAGTCTTGAATAATAAAAGTTTTCAGAAAGCAGAACCATAGCAAAATAATTTTAAACAAAGGGTATCTACATTGTTAAAGCTTAATTTTAAAAAATTTGTGTGTGTGTGTGTGTGTGTGTGTGTGTGTGCGCGCTCAGGTATGCACACAACATGGCACATGTTCAGAGGTCAGAGAACAAGTTGTGGAAATTGGTTCTCTCTTTCCACCATGTAAGCTCTGAGAATTGAACTCAGGTCATCAGCTTGGTGGCAGGTGCCTTTGGCTGATGAGTCATCTAGGCAGCTCGAAAACAGTGGTGTCTATGAATATTCCTTCATAGCATTCAGAACTTCAGTAGCACAGAACTATTATGCCAGCACCAGAAAAGTGGAGGCTGGAGGATCAGAGATAAAGGTCAGTTTCATCTATATGATGAGATTGGGTGGAATGCATGAGACTGTCTCTAAAAATAAATATTCATTTCTGTTTCCTTCCTCACATTTCTTCTCTGGATTGTTTTGACATTTAAATTTTTATTCCCAGCTTTCCTGGAATGAAATTAGCGTCCTGGAGATGTTTCAGTCCCCCTGTGCTCACTGAAGCACTCTTTGAGAATCAAGACAGGGAAACTAATGACAGATGGGCAGGTAATGGTGACTGGCATATAATGAAGGAATATTATGCAGTCTTACAAAAGAAGAAAGTCCTATCTGCAGCATAGCAAATCAAAGGTCATTATGCTATATGAAATAAACCAAATGCAGAAAGAAAAATTCCTAATTATATATGGAATCTAAACCAGTCAAACAAAAATAGTGCAGAAAGGTAACTGCTAGAAGCTGGAGCGGGGTGAGAAAATTGGAAAATGGTAATCAAAGGGTATGAACTTCCAATTTTGAGACAGATATATTTTGGCAGTCCCCAGAAGCCAGCAGTTGAAAGACCACCACTGCCACCACACCACTGGATTATGTTCCTCCAAGACCCACTCTACTGCCCAATCCCACCCACCTCATCATCAGCCTGTGACCAACTCTGCCCTGCAGCTCTAGCAGACTCCACAGGCACAGGTACAACCCACACCATTTGGGAGAACAGATGCAAAATCTCCAGTGTAAGAATACACTCAGCAACAGAACATGCAACCCAAGAAAGTTCGCTGCACCCACAAAAACACAGGCAATAGATAACATCACACCAGCAAAACACAAAGAAGGAAAAACACACACACTACCACCACCACCACCAAAACCAAAACAATAACAGGAATTAAGAATCACTGGTCATTAACATCTCTTAATATCAATGGACTAAATTCACTACTAAAAATACACAAGCTAACAGAATGGATCTGAAAACAGTATTCATTCTTCTGCATCATACAAGAAATACACCTCAACTTCAAGGACAGAATAAAGGATTCGGAAAAAAATTCTAATCAAGTGGACCTAAGAAGCAAGCCAGTGTAACTTTCTTAATATCTAACAAAATAGACTTCAAACTAAAATTAATCAAAAGAGCTAGAGAAGGACATTTCATATTCATCAAAGGACAAATGCATCAAGATGAATTCTCAATTCTGATCAGCTATCTACCAAATACAAGGGTACCCACACTTATAAAAGAAACATTACTAAAGTTTAAATCACATATCAAACCTCATATTAATAGTGGGAGACTTCAATGCCCCACTCACACCAATAAATAGTTATTCCAGACAGAAACTAAACAAAAAAATAAGGGAACTAACAGATGCTATGGACTTAGATATTTACAGAATAATTTACCCAAATACAAAATAATATACCTCTTTCTCAGAACCTTATGGAACCTTCTCTAAAACTGACTACATACTTGGTCACAAAGCAAATCTCAACAAATACAAAAAAAATGGAATAACACCCTGTATCTTATCCAATCAGCATAGATTGAAGTTGGAGTTCAACAACAACACAAATCACATAAAGCCTAGAAACTCATGAAAACTAAATAACTCTCAACTGAACTACCACTGGGTCAAAGAAAAAAATAAAGAAATTAAAGTCTTCCTAGAATTTAATGAAAATGAATGCATAACATACCCAAACTTATGGGACACCATGAAATCAATGCTAAGAGGAAAATACACAGTACTAAGTGTCTACATAAAGAATTTGGAGAAATCTCACACTAGCAACTTAACAGCACAACTGAAAGCTCTAGAATAAAAAAGAAAACACACACAAGAGGAGTATATGGCAAGAAATAACCAAACTCAGGGTTGAAATCAATAAAACAGAAACAAAGAGAACAGTGCAAAGAATCAATGAAACAAAGAGTTGGCTCTTTGAGGAAATCAACAAGGTAGACAAATCCCTATACAAAGCAACAAAAAGGAAGAGAGGGAATACCTGAATTAACAAAATCTGAAACCAAAAGGGGGATATAACAACAGATACTGCGAAAATTCAGAGGAGACTTACTGAATCATATTTCAAAAACATGTACTAAACAGAATTGGGAAATCTAAAAGAAATAGACAATTTCTTCATAGGCTCCACATACCAAAGTTAAATCAAGACCAGATAAACAATTTCAATAGAGCTAAGGAAATAGAAACAGTCATTAAAAGTTTCCCCACCAAAATAATAATAATAAAACTTAGAATTAGATGATCTCAGCACAGAATTCTACCAGAATTTCAAAGGAAATCTAATACCAATACCACTCAAATTGTTCCACACAATAGAAACAGAAGAAACAATGCCAAATTCTTCTTATGAGACTACAGTTGCCTTGATATCTAAGCCACACAAAGATAGAACAAATAAAGAGGATTACAGGCTATTTTCTCTCATAATCATTGATGCAAAAATACTAAATCAGACAAGGGAGTGGATCAGAATAAGCTCCTGAAGATCCTTAATATTCTCTGCTGACTTAATCATACTGAGGAAATAAAAGGAAAACTCTAAGCATGTGCAAATCCCTGGGGTCAGTCTCTATTATCACTTGAGAAGTGATCAGTTGGCCACTTTAATTCATCATTGTTAGACTGAAAAAAAATACCTTGGAAGAAAAATTCAAAATTACAAATTGAATTTAAATATCACTATGGTAAAATATCATTTTATATAAACAGCATTAATATTGCACTATTAAAATACCAAAAATTACATCAGGTTCATCATTTTTCTTATCTAAATATTATTCCTTTTATTATCTGATACCCATTCGATTTCACACTGAGGACTTAATTTGCATCTGTTTAATTGTTAATTCTACTTTTGGTTTTTTTCTTATATTCCTTGTCCACAGTTGAATTTATTACAACCAAATGAAAAACAAAACTATTAATAAAGATGTATTTAGTTTGAGTTTCTTTTTAAAAATAATTCATAAATATGACCAGTGGGGAGCTCAGACTTGCTTCATTGTCAGCCCCAAGGAAATACAAGTTCTTGGTTGGCATTGGCCATGGCCACAGGGACATGCTTGTCACATAGGAGAGGCAATCGGGCTTTCAGAGGGAGTCTTGAGTTAAAGTGACATAGCCTAATTTCCCATAAAACTACCCATCGTTTTAGTTGATAATTATCCAAGAAGAGAGATGTGCCTATAAAACAGAGTGACTCCAAAATCCACCTTATATACATTTTGTAATTCACCAAGGTTTTGAATATAAGCAGATTTTATAATAAAAATTAAGCATAAGTCTAAACTCACAATAGTGGACACACTTAAGACAAGACCCCCTGGCTCTCTTGTTCTTTTCCTTCACTGCTATGCACACTCATCCAGTCTATTACAGCCCAAGGCAAGTCCTGACTGTGGCTACTTCTCTGCCTCACTTGGAAACAGCTCAGGGAGGCAGGAACATAGCTGCCCCTAAAAGCCGACCCTGGTGGACCAATAGCCAGGGATCAAAGATGGGGGTGGGTGCTGTGGTACTGCCACAGGTGGAAGATACATCACAAGTGATCAAACACCATTCTCCCAGCAAGTGTTTGGGACACAGAGGGCTGTGGGAACTAAAGAGGAAGGGATGCCACCCACTGGAGAGCACTGGTTAGAGCTCAGGAAGGGAGACTTGAGCAGTGGAGGAGACAGGGTGGAGTGAGACAGTTGTGCACACCATGCAGGCCGACTCAGTCACTCGTAGAGACTCAGTCTCGGATCAGCTCTAGGCACTGCTAAGTCAAAGCTTGGAAGGACAGCGTGTTGTGATGCTATTGAGGGTGTGTGTGTACACAGTGTTGTCTAGGAGTGCGGCCAGGTCAGATGGCCATAGGAAACCCAGCTGGTCTGTGTCTGTCATCCAGTACTAGAATTCCTGACCTGTGGCGTGGTCATGTGGATCTGTGACAAGTTAGCAGTTTTTGTCCCAAATCTAACCAAAATCATATTCTTACAATCTAAGATCAGGATTTGCACCAGGGATAAGTCTTGAGAAAAGAATTTGGGGAGAATTAAACACGTGACTTTCTATTATAAAACCATGTAGAAATTAATTTCAAAGCCATGATCAGCTCAGATCCTCTCCTTTTGGTGGTTCTGAGCATGTTTCATTTTCTCATTTTTACCCATGCTGCAGTTCCCCACATTTTAACATTGCAAAGTGCACACAGGTAGAAAGTCATGCAGATGAATCATTTTACCTTTGCCTGCACCTACATCAGGTGGAAGAATACCAGCTTAATGAAGGGAAACAGAAACAGGACACTATATAGTTAGATGTAACACATCCAGGAGCATCTACAGCCATATAAAAAAGCACTTATTAAAATTCTAAGGCATGCAAGCGGAATGAAGCCTGTTATAAAAGGCACAGGGACAAAAAAAAATGCATTGCTGTCCCCACACTTACCCAATATCCGATATAAACATTACTTACGGTGCATTATTCTAAGACAGCTTAGGACGTTTGACCCATTTTTAGATATGAAATTTTAATTTCATATGCTATATAGAAGCTATAGAGGACACCCAACGAGATGATCCAGTCCTTAAGCAACTTCACAATTTGGAGACATGCAAAACCAGAAAGTATTTTATAATACTTAAATACTTTTAGGATTTATTTTATTTTACATGTGTGAATGTTTTGCCTGCATATGTATGAGCACTTCATGCGTGCCTGGCTCCCAACCCAGACCAGAAGAGGGCAGCAGAACGGGATTTACTGATGGTTGTGAGCTCTCATGTGAGTGCTGGGAACTGAACCTCTGTAAGACAAAAAGTGCTCTTAACCCCTGGGCTACCTCTTTAGCCTCGCTTTATACTATTCTTGATCCTTTTAATTAAACCAAAACATTATGAATCACTTTTGAAAATATTCAATTTAATGAGAAATTTTTTGCTTTCTCTACAGATGACATACTAGAATCCATTTCTTTGTTAAGCATAAAATAAGTATACTACTTATTTGTCTTACATTTCCTGCTAGAAATTTTTAATCAATGTGTACATAAGCAAATTATTTCCAGTGAATCAGAAGTAGAACTAAAATTATGTATAAGCATATATGGATGTATAGGTAAAAAAAAAAGTTACACTGAACTTAGCACTCAAGTGTGATGAATTATTATGTTGTTATTTCTTATTCCTGCTTCAATATGTTTAAAAGGCGTATTTATTTACTTGTATGTGTGTCTATCTGCATGAGCTTATGTGCACTATCTGCACATAAGCCAGGTACCTGTGGAGGCTAGAAGAGAACATCAGATGTGGAGCTGGTGTGACAGGCAGTTGTGAGCCGCCATGTGGGAAGTAGGAACCGAACCCGGGTTCTCTGCAAGAGCAGTTAAGTGCTCTTAACCACTGAGCCATCTCTTCAGCCCCCTGCACCAATATGTTAACATAAATTAAAAGTTTCATACAGGCTTGAAAAGGAAATAACCAAATAGCCGAACCAAATAACTGATTTCCCCCATATGCTGGGATGGGAAATTACAATTAAATATGTTATTAGATAAGATGGAGAGTCCGTGGCACACAAAAAAAGAGAAGGAATAAATTCACAATGCTTTTTAATTCCCTGACATTTATAATTATATAGATTTTATACATACCCATCTTACCTTCGTCCACAGTCGTTATTGCTTCCTCTGTAATCTGGCTGCCTGATCCCACTGATGTTTGTGCATAGAAATAAAACTTGTACCGAGTGCTGAAATTTAAATTTTTTAAAGTCCAGCGTGTCTTGTTGGCAGGAATTTTTAAGTCTACCAGGGGGCCGAGTTCATGCGTGCTGTTAACTGCCAATGAAAAGTGACAAACATGTACATCCCCTATTAGTTTTCCTAGGAATACTACTGTAAGTCATTGTTTCAGAAAAGAAAATACGACATTTCCAGTTGACACGCCTTTACACTCCTTATCATGCTTTGGATAACATACTAATAGCTATTTAAAGTGTAAAAATGTAGCCTGGAGAATAATAGGAAGAAGTGGAAATTTTTTTCCATTGGCTTACAAACTAGGATTATGATACCAGTTTTAAATCTGTCTTTGCTGGTGGACTTCTATCTTTTTAATAATTCCAGATACTTCTCTTGGCACCTTATGGCCAAGGAACTTTCTCTTCATTTTCGGCTGCCAGATAATGTTCTAACCTAATGACGGACCCTCCCTTCAGCCCTACACTTAGCAGTCTGTATTATCCTAATGAGACCTTAATTTCAACAGCATATATGTTACCTTTCTACACAGGTATACTCTGAACCTCTTTCCGGAACAGTACTTGAAGGTCTATACACACTGGGAAAGGAACAACTTGCATTTTACGACAGGCGTGACTTACTTGGCTGGTATTTTAAGGTGTACTCAGTCAGGACGCCATTGGGGTGACTCGGCGGGTCCCATTCCAAAGTCAGAGAGTCCAGGGTGGGATTGACAATTTTCAGAGAGGAGGGAGCACTGGGGACTTTTAATGAGAATGGACAGTCAGCACAATGTTTCACAGACATTCCAAAATGAACATCCTTGTCCTATCTACACAAGTTTGGGTTTTCGGGTTATTGTTGGATCCAGCTGAAAATACTTTGACTCAAATCTGTGTACTTGTGACGTATTTCTTTTCCTCTATCTTTCTTTTTTAAAGCCACTTCCATTTAAATTCATTAAAATTATCTTCTTAAAATACATAATGACTGACTTTATAGGGACTCAAATAGTCTATTTTAAAGCAGATGGCACTCAACTCCATTTGTAAAAGTGAGCCGGTTGCCAAGGGAGACCATCCATGCGGGCCTTTGAGAGGAAGCAGCTGTGTCCTGGTCCATTAAAAACTATTTCCCCCAACAAACCAGGTGTCTCCACATAGTCGCAGCACCCTGCCTGATGGGCTTTGGGCCTAGGCCAGGTTGCCCAAGTGCTGAGCTGTGCTTATCCCAAGGACTCAGAGCTTCCCAAGACCTGAATTTAAAAAAAAAAAAAAAAACAAGAGCCCCATATGTCGGCTCATGCCCTACCCCAGCATGGGGAAGGCTCAAGGGCTTCCGGTCTCCTGGGCAGAAGCTGGCAAATTATCAGAGGAAACAGGCCTAGTCCTGTTTAAAGGGAGCTTCTTTAAGAGGCTGGGGATGATGTTGCCTTCCTACCATAGTCCCTAAAAACCCTTTAACGACAGCACTATCCCTCCTTCACTCTAGCTGGAAACTGGAGAGTCAATTTGGAGTTTTTTCCATCTCCTGGGATGCTAAATCTTGGCAATGCTCTCTTTTCTCAACTATATCCATTCCCTAATCCTCTCTGCTTCTCCCCTATTCCCATGCTTTGCCTGGGCCTGCAATCATTCTTGATGGGCTTCTAAGCTTCAGCCTCATTGATTCTTAACCTTAGGAGGTCATAGGTCTCTTCTCTCTAGAAAAATATGTTGACATGCTGCTCGGTGTTGTTTCAGGAGGTTGATGGTATTCCTCAAATGTCTCAGAAGATCCTGAAGAAGGGACTACCACAGTCTGTAGGCTAAGAGCTTCTGTCTCACAGGTTAGATCCATGGCGTCCGAGAGCATGCAAGATGTGGGTCCTCTCCCATTGCCATATCTCTTTTCTCACCCTGGCAATACATCTTGTATTTGATAGGAGCTATACTTTTTAATACCTTTGTGACTTCAGAAAAAACATCCTCCCCCCGCCTTCAGTCTTCAATCCCGTTTATCTTTTCTATGCCCCCCTGTGCCATCCCAAGGACCAGCCTTGGTTCTCACTGATGAGAGGTTATAGGGCAAAGAGCCTTCGGCCTCAGCACCTTGAGTGCCGGGACTGCAGGCACCACCAAGGCTGATGCAAGACTTCTACCCATGTAACTCAGGACAGCTTTATAAGAAATCATGAAAGCTTGTGAGCCAACTCCAACTCGCAAAAATATCTTCCCTTTGGGGAACTGTCTTACATCTTCCTTTCAGCACGGACTCTTCCAGAGGGATTTACCAAAGCTTCGAGAAGTTACAGAATGTGCCTCAGCTCAGGACGCTGATGACTCAAACACATTAACAATGTTTCACACAGCCTAAATGAAGAGGAAAGCTAAGGGAAAGAAGGCAGTATACGGGGACAGCACTCTGAATTCTGAAGCTCTGTCTGACCAGCATTGCATGTGGGTGACATTTTGTCATCTTTTTGTGTGCTGTGACTATTTATTATCATGCATATAGCTATTTTCTCAATGGTGGGCCTTTTGTAGTATAAGACCTTCCACAATATGCTACATGCTCCTTACCTCCCTCTGGAGTATGGAAGCCTCTGTCGCTGCTGGCTGGGCCCTCTCCTTTCCCATTGACCACTCGGACGTTGAGAAAATAGTGGCTGTACGGTTGCAGCCCTGGCAGCATGCCATGCGTCTTGCTGCCCTGAAAGGTGAGGATCTTCTTCTCAACGTGGCGTCTGTTTCTTTTGGACGAGCTCTGCACCTTCCAGTAGTAGATCTGAAGTGGCCAGAACCAGCATCAGGGACTCACAGAAAACCAATATGACACCTCATGTTCACAAAATCGGAGCCCTGGGGCTGGGAAGGCAGCCCAGCAGGTAAAGGTCCCCACCATGTGAAACCTGTCAACTTGAGTTAGATCCCTGGAGCCCACAGAGAGGTGGGAGGACGTAGCTAGCGCCAGAGTTGCCCTCTGACCTCCACACCGCACTGCTGCATGTGCAATTCCCTCCTCGCTCACCCCATGTACTTGTGGGGAGTGCACATATATGTGTACACACGTGTGCACAATTTTCTCTTTAAAAACTTGAACTGCTGCTTTCTCAGAAAAATATCTTGGTTCATTCTACATGAGTACTTGTAAAACTGGCGGAGACTGGTTCTTAGACACGAAGGACAGACAGACGCCCACAGATAATGAGGAGACTTAAGTCCACATGGTGAAGCTGCGCTTTACCTGTGTAAGTTTTACTGTCCATTGTTGTTACACTCATGTAGAGTTATACACGTTTAGCACAACATTTAATTTAATCCTCACCCTAGTGAGGCTTTTATTATATCTTTTTGTGGTACTGTTGAGCTTATGGGTTACTGACGGATTTTTTCCAAAGCCATAATAATCCTACACTGTAAGTCTTGGGTTAGTCCATTAACCCACACTACCATCTAATTATAAGTGCTGATAAATTGCAGGCATGGGTTTTGGGGGGATGAATGAAGTGTTGTATAATTTTGGTCGAAAGGCAAGAACTTTTGCATATTATATTTTCTTGAAGGCTTCTTGGAATTTAAAAGCATTTTTCAAGATAAATTATGTATGCCAAATCTGCTCATTATTAAGAATAAAAGAATACAGTGCAGTATAAAAAATGTCCTCTAGGGGCCAGTGTCAAATCAAAGTAGTGATATAGTGTATATCAGGTTCTTTAGATGTATGAAAAAAGTCTCTAGGACTAGTCTTTTTGTGTTTTTGAAAACTAAGATAATTAACATTCATAAGGATGATTCAGCTATGGACTACAGTCTTAAAATATAATTTGTCCAATAATATAGCCAGCACTAATAAATTTGTCCTCTGACCTCCTAGAATCAGATCAGAGGTCTGAAGACAGATTTATTACTACTGTCTATATCATTGTAAAGCTAAGTGCAATTTGCTAATTCTTTAAAAACCATTCCACCTTATTTTACATTCAGTTGGTAGAACATTCCAGAAACTGTGGGAAAACTGTGAAAGACAGATAAAACATCATTTTCTCACCCTGGATAAATGAGATTTCTAGTCAACTCTAGCTGGGTTCTTTTGGCTGGAAACAGCGAGCAAAGTCACTCGTGAATTCCCAAGTCATGAACAGAAGAACCACATAATTTCAGCCTGAAGTGATGTTCAAGACAAGCGGCCCCCACCATGGCCCTTCACCTACCCGGTAGCCTTGTAAGTGTCCTCGGACACTCTTCAGAGGTACTGGGTCCCAGTGTACCTCTGCCAAGGTGCTGTTCACCACATTGACACGCACATTCCCAGGAGCCACCATTGGAACTAGGAACAAGACCAGAGAGGGGGGTGGTGGTGCCTAAAGCTGTTATTTCTTATTTCATGCAAAAATGTCACAATATTCAATAACTCTGGCTTGAAACACACTCCACACTACGCTATAGAGGCCCATACTATGGATTGGTGATGGTTAAAAGTAGACATTTTTAAAATTCATTTATCTGACTCCATGAAAGCAACTTTTGTTTTTAAATGTTGTGAACGTTTAGTCCCCTCATCCAGAGGTTCTGGGTTTGGAATCCAGAGCCTTCCATACATAAGGAAAGAGCTCTACCCTGAAGCCATTCCCCTAGCCCTGAATCACTATCACAGAGAAGGCTGTACAAAGGTGGAGAAATTAACCAAATGATTGCTACTTCTTTTTCCTTGCTAGCCTAGGGGCCTCTGAAATAACCTCAGTCTGCCCCCCAGTAGGTCTGTCCCTCTGGCAAGTGTAGAATGGGAAGAACGGGGGACACTTACGATCTTCTCCAGAATGGCCCATGACGACAGCTGGCTCTGGCGCAAACCCCACGTCATTCAGGGCTTGAACTTTGATCAGGTATGGGACAAAGGTTGGCGTGCCGGAGACGATGTATTTGGATACGTTGGCCACCACCACAGAGGTCCACTCATCATCACCATCTTTCTGACGCCAGCTCACTTTGTACTGGAGGCCGGGCCCATTCGATTCAAAACCGTTCAAGGGCTATGGAGAAAACGCCAAATAGAATGACTGGACAGCCTTCTACAGGAACAGCAAACCCAATTCCCAGAGCAAAGAAAACAAACGCTAAACCACTAGAATGCAAGCTATTAAATGCCCTCGTCTTCAGGGACCTCTTCTCTGTGTTCCCTTGTGATGAAATCTAAAGTTTGTTGAGAACCAAGGTTGTGAAAGGCAATCCCAAAGTAGTAAATAACACATAAAGCCTCCAAGACTGGTTCCATAGGTAAGTATGGGTGAGTCTTACGACATTTTAGTTATCTAGATTTATTTTATATATTCCTGTTTGTGTCACTGCACATCATTGTCCACTTGGAGACGAAAACTTATGAACTGTTTTTCTATTAAAAATTTGGGTCTGTCTATTCTATCATATATGCATATATACATGTATATGCTTAGATCTAAGCTAGGTTTTGATATTATACAAATAGTTTTGTTCTAATTATTGATTTTTCAGATCCAGAACACATAGATAAGGTAAATAAGAATAATTAAAATAATTTGACTCCTGGGAAGAGTTTGATGTGTGTCTTCCAAATGAACTCTCTGATGACAATAGCTAGCATTTTTTGGAGCACATACTTGTGTGAGGCATTTTAATAAGTGCTTCATAAACCTCAGTTCCTTCAGTCTTATATAGCTGTATTAAGTTTCATCATACAGACGACTGATAATTGACTACAATTACCAAAGCTGCGATGTTCAACTGTCCATTTTCGCTCCCAAAATAGAACTTTTTAATTACTATACAACACAGCCTCCTAAATAAAGATATATGTTTTTCTACACTGGTTGAAAAGGAATACAAATGCAGATATTATTCTGAAACAACTCATTCTGCTCAGTCTCTAAAAGATAGAAGCAAAGCCAGGCAAAGGTGGTGCACACTTTTGGTCTCAGCAATTGGGAGGCAGATGCAGGCAGATCTTTGTGAGTTCTGGACCAGTCTGGCCTACAAGAGCTAGTTCCAGGGCAGCTAGGACTATTACACATAGAAACCCTATCCTGAACAAACAAAATAAATAAATAAAAAATAAATAAAAGATTGAGGCAAAGGAAAGGCTTCGTGGCTCACCTTCCATGTAATTACCAAGTTGTCGGGCTCTGTACCTAGTCCTTCCACAGCCGTGGGATTTTGATCTGGTTCTAAAAATGAAGACATCACACACAAGTAAGCTTTGGCTCTCTGGAAGGAGTAGGAAACCCTTCTGTTTTATGTTAGGTCCCTGGGTTGCAGCCTTACCGGCGGCCTTCGTCAGGTATTGCTCCGATGCCTCGCTGGGCACACTCCTCCCAATGTTGTTCTCCGCCATGACTCGGAAGGAGTAGTTCACATACGGAGACAGCTTTAGCTGTGCTGTGGTCTGTGTTCCAGAAACTTCAGCCTGGTGGTGCCATACCCCTGCTTCATGCATTGCATCTTCATATTCAATGATGAATTCTGGCCATCACACAACGCACACCACAAACCCAAGATGGTGAATTCAGTCAACTTAAATACAAGTTGCCAGAGATAATTCATGGCAAGCAAGAGTAACAAGACACAGGTGATTTTTTTTTTTCAAGAAAAATCCTGTTAGGATATTGTGAGTTCAATAGATAAGGAGGTGCAATTTTTGACATCTCCCACCTATCATGCAGAACTCAGCTTAGTTAAAACTGTTTAGACCTGATTCATATATTCCAAAGGGAAATTTAAATATATAAATTACTGTAGAAAGGAGTAACTACAGAAAACACAATTAAGGAGGTGTTCTTCACTAGGAAGATTGACAACAATCAAGTGTTTAACATACTTTGTTTTGTGACGCACTCTCAGACCTCCTGAGAAGTGTACGTTGATACACTTTTATACAGGACGATTGAGAGTACCTAAACAATTTTAAACATACACACCCTTTGAGGAATTGTACTTCCCGCGACTGATTTTGAACAAACTTACTTACTCATGTGGTGTAAAGACACACGCACAAAAGAATCCACATTGCTGCATTATTTGCAGCAGAAGCAAAAGCAACCTAAATGCTAAAAGCTAAATGCTTTCCAGAGGGATATATGTAGCCAAAAATGGTCCACACAGACACTGCGGAACACTCTGTACCTGTTATAAATGAGGATGGTCTCTATGTGTGTATCTAAGTGTACCATGACACAGAACAGAGCAGGAGAGTGAAGAGCACACATTGAATGCTACACCTGTTTAACAGTATAAAGACCTGCTGGATAAACTGCACTTGGATGGACATGGATTTCATGTTAGAAGGTGCACACTCATTAAGAGTGGTGTGGCCTGAGGAGCTTACAGACATGAGTGGGAAGAAGACCCGTTTTAGGGGGTACAGTCTATTTTGCTAGAATGCTGTGGTGTACCATTTATTTTTTTTTTTACCTTTGGGAAAGTAAGGTATTTAGGTATATCACACCCTGCATGAAATTGACTTGAGGTACTTGACATTTTCTGCATGATGTTGCTATGTCTTATTGTGATAATGACATGCTTCTGCCACATATTTTTGAATATATCCCAATGCTGTGGTTCCTTCCACACCTCAAAATACAATTGTGAGGCACACCCTGCCCTGCTAAAATATTAGCCATCCTGGGGCTACAAGAAGTCTTGGGTGGTTGGAAAAAACCTGTCCCGCAAAGCTACTGAAGTGAAGACCCGTGGGACTGAGACAATGAGCACTTACCTCCTGAGGTAAGTGCCAGCCTAAGCTGAAGGAACAAGGGAGAGGTGTCCACAAGCTCCTTACCATCCCCCTGTGGGCTTGGGACTAACCTGTCTGCAGCCACATGTGACCCAGCAGAGAGCTGCTACTGAGCGGCATCCCTCCTAGCTTTCTTTTCCATCCTTTATGCCTCTTCTTTTTCTTTCTGACTATAGTCACTCCACTGTATTAAATTTTATTCAGTCCCTTTGAAATCAGCTAATTTTATTTCAAATGTTCTCTGTACTGGGAATTTTTTCTTTCCAATCTCTCACTGTTTGTTCCTTTCCATTTCTCCTCTTTTTCCTTTTAACCCAACTTTATTTTTCTCCACTCCATTCTTCCTTCCTTGACTACACTCATCTGCCACTTCCACTGTGACCCTAAATTACTCTTAACTGCACCAAGCACTGCACATTTCTTTTGCCATGTTTTTCTTTGCCGTGGGTTTTAATCCTTTCAAGTGTATTTCCTGTACGTTTTGATGCTGTTGCTGAAAGTCTGTTTTCTACCCTCTGAGCGGTAGTGGCTGTTCAAACTCAATCCCCCCTGTGAAACTGAAAGAGAGACTTTCACTCAAGGGAAGCACCAGTGCAAACAGAGGCTATTGCCACTCTGCTGGAAGGTGCAATAATATCAACACAGCTATGATTTTGGAATGATCTGGAAGAGCAGTTGGTCTTCCTGAAGCCCACACTTGAAGATAACAATGTATTTCAGGGTCATGACTGACTACGCCTGCTCTCTTGGGCATCTCTTTAGTTTGACAATCAAGCCTTGAGCCTATCTTATGCTGATTTAATAAATGTCTTTGTATCTGCAGGCCTTGGTCTCTCACCTGATTTTATTCCCTCTGCCAGTGTCATCGAAGTGAGGCCCTGCATTGTTGAATGTGTCATTTTGTAGCAAAGGGCAATGGGGGAAAATTCACCTGTATTGGAAGTTAAGGACCTATTGTATATGAGCAGTTCTATCACAAACTGTAGGTCTGTAATAGAGCACCAAGATCTGTTTCCCAGTGTTTAGACTGGTCTCTCAGCACCTCCCAGAAGCAGAGGACTAAATGAATGACTAACAAGATCCATCTCTCTACTGACTCTGTGCCGGGTAGTTTTATGTCAACTTGACACAAGCCAGAGTCATCAGGAAAGAGGGAGCCTCATTGAGAAGATGTCTCTATGACATCAGACTGTAGGCAGGCCTATAGGGAATTTTCTTAATTAGTGATTGATGGGGAGGGCTCGGCCCATTGTGGATGATGCCATTCCAGGGTTGGTGATTCTGCATTCAATAAGAAAGCAGGATGAGCAAGCCATGAAGGAGCAAGCCAGCAAGCAGCACCCCTCCATGGCCTCTGTGTCAGTTCCTGCCTGCAGGTCCAATGATGAATAGTGATGTGGAAACAGAAGACAAACAAATCATTTTCTCCTAAAGTTGCTTTTGGTCATGGTGTTCCACTGCAGCAGTGGTAATTCTAACTTGGGCAGTGGCAGACACCGAAGCTGATTCTTCACAATCTTAAACACAAATGAGAGTGTGTTTGCTTAACTAATATTTTCAGGAGTTAATTAGTTGTGCCAGAAGCTATAGCCAGGAACAACTCCATTGATGAAGAGCATCATACTTTGGTTCTAACAGCAATAATGAAGAGACTGCCAGTAAATGAATGCATTTGGAAGGAATTACAACACTAAATCCTAAACTTGTTCTGGATACGGCTTCAGGAATAGCCATTAGGTTTACCAAGTATAAAGCAAAAATACCACATACTTGTAATGGGGCTATTGTTGTCATCGCCTGGGGTCCACGTCAGCTGAACGCTTTTGTCAAGTTGATTGGTCAACTCTAAATCAAAGGGAGGATTCGGTACATCTGTGGAGCAAACACACGCAAATGGTTCACTGTCTTCTTCAAAGGAAGTTTCCTTCTTTCTTTGTGACGCTATGCACAGAGGGACACCTTAGAGACACATCACTCTTATTGGTCACTGAGCATGCAATGGAAAGGAAAGAGACACTGCTGAGGTTGCTGAGAACACTGCACACCCAAGCCAACCCATCAGGGAGCTCTGTTGGCTTGCTTTTTCAAGAGATACAGAATCGTTGTTTGCCAAATCCACTGAGGCAGTGCAAGGGTCCTCAGCATGCTCAGAAAGGAGCACAGGCAGAAATGACATCACAAGGGAATCAGAACAGTCAAGGATGAGAGACAAATGCGGGCAAGTGGCATGCGCTGTTCAGAGGCTTTTCAGCATCCCGAGGCTAGGTGGGAAATGGATCTGGAGGTAGCTAAGGACTATTTTTAGGGTAGGGAGCTCTTGGAATGCACAGACACATTGCATGTCTCGACAGCTGTTGGGACAGAGGTCACTGAGAAATACAATGAGCAAAATAGTCTAACCTTACGATACACTGTAAGGTTTTAAGAAATAATTGACTACGGCAAATGAAGCCCATGATAACTGACAGCCATTTTCCTTTAAAAAAATATAATGATGGGACAGAGAAGAGAAAGCGATGTTCACAGATGTGAAATTATTTAACAGAAGACAGAAAAAGAAGACTCATTAGTTTACCGTAAATGGGGGCTGGAGTTGGAGTAGGAGCTAGAAAGGACATTAATATAAAGGATTTTAATCAAAATTAGTGATGGAAACACAGAAGAAGACAAAAGCAACCCAGTATTTTCTTTTAATTAAACTCTCTATTTAGCTTAATGTGAGGTGTGCACTGACAGAAGGAGGACGACAATTTAGGAATAACCTCCCCCGATTCTATAGATAAGAGGTTACTTCCTCAATTTTCTTAAAAAATGTCGTTTATATGAACATCCCCCATTTTGTCAGAGAGCATATGTATATGGTGATCGCCTCCTGAATCACCCACCCTTGTATCTCTGAAACAATAGCTAACAAATCTTCAACACCTAGAACTTTCTTCCAGTCTTACTACAGATGACCTGGCTGTGTTTTTTCTTGCTCTTACCGACAACCCTGAGCACAGCGCTGGCAGAGACTCTGTCCAGCGTCGTGTTGGCCGCGCACGTGTAGGTCCCGCCATCATCGTCACTGACATCAGTTACCACCAGATGATCCTTGTCTACGGAGAACCTGTAAACAGAACACACGTACAGCAGTTGCTGTGACAGAGAGACACTGCTGACTGACGACAGCCTTCCCAGCAGGCAAGAGTCTCTGAGAACTTGATGAGAGAGAAAGATAAACACTTCCACAATTAGAGTGAACCCCTATATATCACGTTAGTAATAAACCTGGAAAACATTTGGGCTGTTAACTCTAACAGGGTTTGTCAGGCTGATGGAGCAGCCCTGTTGGGGTCAGGACAAAAATCATATGGTATTCCATAGATATGTACAATTGCTGTATGCTAATTAATTTTTTTAATTAATCAAAGTTACTGCTTGTGTCCTGAGGTGTGATGGGTGGCTCCACGTTTTCCCCAACTAGAGTGCTTCAGTCAGGCTTCCGGGGGTTATTTCGTTCTGTTCAATTTCCATCAGAGTGCAGAGGTTTTACAAAGTTACTATTTGTGGCAGAAGCTGCTGTTCCTCTTTACCCCACATGTGTAAAGGCCCAGTATAGTAACTAAGTGAAAAGCACTGGGGTCTTTCTTGTCATGAGATCAACAATCTTCACTAAGAGATTCTAGAAGTTGCTTGCATCACGCATGCAGCACTAATGTTTGGTTCCAAAGAGGCTGCATAATCTGTCTTCCTAATAATTCTCAGTCAAATCTCAGCTGATCTAACTGAGGGTCATTTCTTCACATTCTCTTCTCTTTACCACCTAGATTTCACATAGAAAATTGACCAGGTGGAAACTTGTACTTTGGGCACATGGAAAGAAAGGCCAGGAAGTTATAGTAGGTTCATTAGCAAGCAATAGGGTACCATTTAGTCATCCCAGGTTTAGGTCAGAGGCAATTAAACCACAGAAATAATCTCCATCGGAACACAGCATGCCTAGCACTGGGTATCACCTGTGTCCACTCTAATGGCTAAAATCATGCATGCAGCTGAATTCCCTAGGTCATCAAACTGAAGGCCTCGGTGGAAAAACGCCATGGTCTTTCTTCTATTCCAAGCTACAGGACTGAACGCACCCTGTTAAACGGTTTACTTGATTTTGATTTTCTTTTCCTTCTGCAGGTGTTAGGTTAAAAAAGAAAAAAGTAATTCAATATCCAAATTCAAAACTTATAATCTTTAAAACACTGGCAGAGTCAGGTGCATTCCTGATTCTGGAGCTCGGATATCAGCGTATGCGTGGAGTGTTGAGGAAAACATCTGCTGAGACTTCACCATTCAAATTATGCAACCATGGTTGTTGTCCAAAATCGGGAGGGCGTTTTCCATCCCAATTTCACAGATCAACACACAAAGACCCACATTCTCAGGCTCTTCTTTCAAACGCTCAATGCCCTTTCAGTTCTAAGCATTTACGGTAAGAGGAAAATGCTGATCTCATAATTTTGCAGACAGCCGACTTCAAACACTGAAAGCATGGTGTCAGTAGCCTTTTGACACAAGAGCAATCTCCAGAGAGAAGGAAGAGGGAAGAGAGCCTCTTGAAATAAATACCTTTCCTCACTGGGCAGCTCTCCATGGTCCTTCAGCCACACGATGGTGGGGATTAAGGTATGGTCGTGTTTCACTTTGCACTCAAAGGACACTTTGCTCCCCCTCTGCACGACTGCGTGTTCGGGTTGCTTGATGATTCTGGTTGGATCTAAAATCCAGAGTTTTGGTTATCCATTTTGGCAAAGCTGGAGAATTTGCTATGTCATATAACACTTGAAAACGCTCATCAACTCTGTCTTACCTTTGATTTCCAAGTGAACTTCGTTCTTTGCCATCCCTAATTTGTTTCTTGCAACGCATGTATATGTCCCTGTACTATCCTTTTGGGCCACAGGAATTTCTAATGTTCCATTATCATGTAAAACATAAATGTCCTCATGAAGAGCGCTTCCTTTGGTTCCTTTAAACCTTCATTACAAAAGTTACAAGCGTGAGAATAAAACACAACAGAATGTGGTCTGCAGCAAGTGTCAAGGCCAGCGACATTTGGAAAGACTACAGAGGTTAGATTCCGCTTATTTGAAGTTATAAAATCAAAAACGTTGTCCAAAACCTGAGGGGTTTTCCATAAGCACACTTCTGACATGTCAGAGGAAAGGGAAGGAAAGCACAGAAAACAGGAGAATACAAAAATAAGCAGAGTCTGCAGAATTAGAACATCAAAATATAATGAGATGCAACTTTTATGAGATACCTAATTTAATAAAGACTTTACCTTTTTTACCCTTAAAGAGATGATACAATAGGCAAAAGTAATATTATCTTGTTATATTTTTCTCCCATTTATAAGACCAAATTTGAAAGACATTTTGATTTCAAGGCTCAGGATTATTTATACTCGGAAAGTTTGAATAGCAAATATTCAGACAATGGAAAGAAAACATGTGTGTGATGTGGGAGTAGACACAGATGTAAAGGACCAGAGTAAGTCAGTCTGAGTTGTCCCTCTCAGCACCCTCACTAGAAGTCTGTTTGTCCCTGTTACTCTTCTCTGGAGTTAAGGTTGGACCTGGAGTGACTTCCCTTTAATCCTTTACCCGCTGACAATTTCATCCCAGTAGCAGATGATCGATATGTACCTGCTCTATTTGTTATCCACATATTCTCGGCAGCTGCCTATCCTCCTCCTGTCCTGTCCAGCACTTCTAAAGTAAGCAGCTGAAGGACTCCTACCAGGACTAGTATGTGAACGTGGATGGACAGAGAGGAGGGAAGAGGACACAGGAGCTTTGTGGGGCTAATGAAGCACCAAGCTGCAAGTCATCTCTCAGTCCATGCCACCTCTCTTCCAGCTCCCTGCCATTTTCATTTTTATTTTCTTATTTTATGTAAATGAGCATTTTGCTCAGCTATATAAATTTGTACCACATGCATGCCTGGTGCCCTGAGAGGTCAGAAGTGGGTATAGAATCCCCTGGCACTGGAGTTACAGAGAGTTGAGAGCCACACAGTTGGTGTTGGGAACCAAACCCAGTTCCTTTACAAGAGCAACAAGTATTCCTAACCACCGAGCCAACTCTCCATCCCCAATCCCATGCTACTTTATTATCAAGAGCATGCTTCTGAACCAGTCCTTCAGCCACTGTTTACGAAGTTCCAGGTAATGTCCATGGCATTATGAAATATGGCAGCCTTAAATATTAAAAATCATTTCCATACAGTTTTGTAGTTCATAGAGCATTCTGGTAGTATATTTGTTACATATGTGCAAGTATTTATTATACCCACTGAGTGGATAGTTAATAAATATTTGAGAAAGAGTGAACAAATTTAATAACTAGTAATGTGATGGATTATGTGTTGCATGTTTACTGTTTGTTTTTTTTTTTACTAAAACCAGACAGAGTTAGAATTATGAATCAAAAAAAAATAGAATTACTACTTACCACTCAATGGTAGGCAGAGGAGACCCAAAGAAGGCGCAGTCTAAGAAAGCAGGTCTGTTTGCGATGACCTGGTACAGTATGTTTGCAGATGTGAGAATTCGAGGTGGTTCAGCTAAAACATTTCAGAAAGATAAGAGTAAATACTAGACATATCTTAAGTTTGCAGTGTCCTTATCCATTTTGTTTTAAGATCATGAAAGTCTGTGATAAACTACAGCCCACATATCTTTTCCCATACGTTCTGTATCTGTGGCATCTAGTAGTCACTCAAGACAGAAGAAACACCCCATGCGTCATGCTCAACATGCTATCTAGGTGTTGCTCAATTACTGATTTGCTTATTTGTGTTTCTTATGCTGGTTAATGAAGGATTCATTTATATGTATCTTATGACACTGGTTATCTTTCAGTGAAAGAATGCGTTTATTTAATCATTTTATCCACAGCAGTCTCTGCCAGGAAATTATGCCATGGCTGAATGACTGACCCATCATCAGTCTAGTGGGTGGGGATGTTCGGGACACATGAAGAGGGCAGGGAAGAGCAGAGTGGAAGTGTCGTTTCTGGAAAAGAGAGGGGACTAACACCAAGGAAGCAACAGAATGAAGAGAAAAAACATAGACTAGGAGAAGATCGGGCTCACACATGCCCAATGTAAGACTAAGACACAGAACATATAAGAAACTCAAAGAGCTCAATAGTCCCAGAAACCAAACTAGTTTTTAAAATGAACAAAGATCCAAATACACATTTCTCAAAAGAGGACACACAAACAGAAATGTGGAAAAAAATGGTAACTATACTAATTGACAAGAGAAACACAAACTGATACTTGCTAGGATGCCTGCTTTCAAGGAGACATATAAATGCCCTCTTTCAGCCTTATAAAGAAGGGGAGCTGAGGCTGGAGAGATGACTCAGCAGTTAAGAGCGCTTGCTGTTCTTTCAGAGGACACAAGTTCAGTTCCTAGAACCCGTGGCAAGAGGCTCACACCTGCTGCCCCTTTCTGGCATCTTCAGACTGCCACACAGATGTAGCAGGCACCCACACAGATTCACAGACATAAATATAAATAAAAATTCCTTTAAATATCTTATATCTGTGATACTGATGACTCTGAAAGACTCTGTGTGAAATGAAACAAAGCCAGACACATACTTGTATTGATCTTACTGAAATATGAGACCTGAAGATGTTGAACTCATAGAAAGAAAGCATGAGAAGAAACTCAGATGTCACAGCTGCTTCCTCAGCATCCACCAATACCTCAACTGCTGAGCTTCTGGGAGACTAATGGCATTTGCTTTATATATGAAAAAAAAATGCCAAATATTGGCTGGCTTTTTTTGTGTTAGCTTTGTTTGGAAAAGGAACACAGTATCTGAAAAAATTCAAGTATAGTTTTTGCTACCACAAGAATAATTCATCCATAAAATTTAAAAATGTAGCTTTTGGTAATTTTACTCAATATGAGAGATGTAGTGTTCACATAAGCCAACCATTCCAGAATATGCCTGAGTACATCATAGTTCCTTACAGTTCTTGAGCATGTTTTTACACATGAAACAATGAATATCTGTGACTTGGATAAGAGCTAAGCACTATAATTAACCATTTAGTTTTTCATGGAGGAATTGTGGCATTTTTGAACTCCTCCATTTCTGTGGTGCTAAATGAGAATGGCTCCATAGACTCGTATGTTTGAATGCTTGGTTTGCAGTTGGTGGAACTGTTTGGGAAGGATTATGAGGTGTGGTCTTGTTCAAGGAGGTCTTCACTGGGGGTAGTCTTTGAGGTTTCAAAAGCCCACACCATTCCAGTTAACTCTCTCTCTCTTGTAGTTGTTATCTCAAAATGTAAGCTCTCAGTTACCACCCCTGTTTGCCTGCTGCCATGATCCCCACCATGAGGACCACGGAGTTCACTATCCTCTGGAACTATGAGCCTTAAATAAATGCTATCCTTTATAAGTTGCCTTAGTCAAGGTGCTTTGTCACAGCAATAGAACAGTAACCAAAAAGGGTGTAAGGATGGAAGAGTGGGCATACTCATGCAAACCAGTGAACAGCATATTCCTGCAGCAAAGAATCTGCCACATAAAACCTGTATGAAGGAACTGCAAGATCAGACCAAAATGGCCCTTGAGGCAAGATTTGTATCTCATCTACCCTTGTATATTCTTTGTAGCTTGAAACACTATGCACTGCAGGTAGCAAAGGCATAATGCATTTTCTATGAACAAGTAGGAAACAACAGCAGTCATTAACTTAACTTTCCATGTCTTTAATATAAGGAGAGCTTACCAAGCACATTTACGAATGCATTCGCTAGTAAGTATCCGTATTCATTAGAGGCATTGCACTGATAGACCGCACTCAATCTTTCTTGAACATTTGAAAAAATAATGGTATCACCGTCTATTTTTCTGCTGGGATCTTCGGGAGCAACTGTTTGGATGTAAAAAAGAAAATGTATGTTTCTTGCTGCTTAAAAGATATATATATATATATATCAAATGTATAAATTTTGAGATCTATGTTTTGTAAAGAGAAAATACAGGCTGGTCTACATAAGTACAAAGAATCCAAGTAGAGTTTAGTTAACACACACATGCAGGCAAATATGCACAATGTCCATTTAGCCTTGAGTGGATGGATTGATCTTCAACAGTGAAGACTGCTTTGAGAGATGCAGAAAAGCAAGCCCAAGTTGGGCAAGATGAGCAAATTCTGGGCGGGGGGAGGGGGAACGCTATCATGTTTATTTAAAAAAAGCCAGCTATTTAAAAGGATGGAAGTTAATTATCAACAAATGGAGAAATGGGCTGGCTTGTTCAAACCTGCCACCTCTGAGGACCTATTATGGAAGCCAATAGATGAATAAACAGAGGCATGCCTGGAGAACACGCTCGTCACGAACATGAGGATATCCACTTTCCTGTTGTGCCCACATCTGGGGCTGAAGGAGAAATCAGTTGTATAAAATTTCTCCTAAAGACCTTTTTCAGCTAAATCCCTCAGGTACTTAAAATGGGTTAAGACCGGAATTGATCCATGCTGAAGCTGAATGAAACTGGCTGGGTAAGGCAGGATGTGAGAATTTAGTCCAAAGCAAGGCAAACCATGGACAAGTGCTGTGCTGTGATACAGGAATTTCCTTTCTAAATGCTAACCCCTAGACCATGTGCCCACATTATTTTAAGAGAGCATTGCTTTAGCATGCTGACCAAAATCAAAGTAAATGACAGTACCCCTCTCTCTGAAACTGCACATGGCAACCATAAGAGGACTTTGCTTTCGTTCAAAACACATTTCTTTTTCTATGGTGGCCAGAAAAGGTTGTGTATCACTATTATGAGACTCAATTATCACTTTGAAATAAAATAAAAGTATCTGGCACACCTGTGGCTTATTAACTCACTTTAATGAAAATAAATCCAGCTATAGCTACTCCCCTTCATTTTATGTGCCCAAGCATTGTGCTCATTCATTCTGTAATAGTTTTTTACTTATACAATTTACAGCAAATCTACGCTATTGGAACAACACAAAATTCTCAGCCCTTTGCTTCCCCAGATTGGAAGCCTGTGAGGATCCCGCTGAAGTAAAGTCCCAGTCCCAGGAAAGCCTTGCTTCTTCTTTGGGTTGCAGAGGAATACACTTCTTTGTTCCTTCTGTTTTCTGGGGGATTCCTAATTTATTAGTCCATATTTTCCCCTTCCTTGCACCACCATCAGTGTCATTTTTTTTTCTGCTTATTCTTCCATAACCAGGTTTTCCCTGAACAAAGCCCAGAGAGGCAAAGTACCTTTGCGGGTTCATGTGATGAAACTGGGAACCAAGCAGATTCATCAGGATCTCCAAATCAGAAAGCTCCTAACCACATGTACAAAGTCCCCCTTTGCTCTGTAAGGTGACATGTTCACCGTTTCCAAGGATTGGGATGCAGACATCTTTGTGAGACCTTACTTTAACTACTGCACATTCTGACTATTATCCCTATAGGCTAACAGTTTAGATGTTCCGGATGAGAATTATCTAACAATGAATCATAAGTTGAACTAGAGGACAAGTTCTTGCCATCCAAGGATTTTTAAAACTTCAACTAGCTCCCAGGGAATAACTAATACCCTTATTCCTGAAGAAGTATGATAGGTAGTTTAAAAATAGTTTCTAAACATTAATGTTACAGAATTAGTGTCCAAAAGTCTGGCAACAATCAATGGCTGAAGTGTAGAATCATCTTAGACACATTTTTGTTCTACTAGTAATAAGGTATGTCAAGATTCTTTGAATCGACTCCTTAACTAACATCTGCAATTTCTGATTAAAATTTCTTTAAGAAAAGCATTCTTACCAACAGAATACAAATAGGAGCCATAATTCCTTCAACAGGGTATAGACTGTATCAATAAGTAATGGCAGAGGACATATCTTACATTATCCCAGGAAGTGACATATAAGTATAGCTGACAGTCATAGATCTGAGAGTGTGGTACACATCAGTGAAGCCCTTGTTTCTTATCCTGGATCCCACACCTTGTATCATTGGGTCTTTCTGATGGGCACACTTGAAGAAATGTCCATCTACTGCTTTAACCAGGCAGGGTGGAACCCAGAGCAGCACCCTGGCTACTCTTGCTCTGTGGATTATTCTAAGCAGATGGACCTAGTACTTGGACAGTGATAGGGCTGCCTAGGGGGTATTTGGTACCCACTCTGATTGCACCTCTGAAGGTGTGCCAGGCAATGAAGAACAATAATGAGGATGACACACTGGCAGAGCACAGTGCCCAAACTCTTAGCACGGGAAACAGACCATAGGATGAGACGACCTCGCATGCCTGAGCATCTGAAATCTTAAAATCACACCACCATGTTCTGGCTAATGGTATAGAGTTCAATTTTTATGAGATGAAAATCAACTGGAAGATTGTAGTGCAAGAATGTGAATGTATTCCGTAACATTCCATCGTGCATTCATGGGTTAAGTTAGCAATAGTGAACCCACGGCCTTTAACAAACAAGGCAAGTGCTCAACACTGAGCTGTATTCTTGACCCTAAGGTACTAAATTTTATGCTGCTTGTGAATTGCACCACAATAATAACAATACAACAAATACGACCAAGAATACTGAACTCAATTGAAAAAGCTAGAAGGACAATTTCCCCAAGTAGAGATGCATCAACCACAAGCAAAACACCCTGTAGCCCCAGGTTTCACTTGTCTTCAGGACCAAAGGCATTTGACTATAGCCACCTCATTTGTGCTCAATGGAACAGTTTTCAGATACTTATTTCTGGCATAATATTTGGGACTGAAACAAACTTGGACCTGAGGTATAGGCGATGAGTAGGCAGCTCTCTTGGTGAAGATCTGCATTATGTTTTCCTTCTGCAGTTATTCAAGAGAAGCAAGAGAGCCTAGAAACAGCAGCGACATATGGTGGCTCAGTTGGTAGCTGGGCACAAAACAGAGTCACTGCTGCAGAGCCATTGGCAACCTTTGGATGTTGTGTGCTGGCTACTGGATGGGAAAAACTCGCCAACTAGCAAACTCAAATCGTCTAAAGGAATAATAATTAATTTCTAGGAACGACCAATACCATTTACCATAAATAAGCACCAAAGAAGGAAATGTAAGACTATACATCCACATCTATAACTTTAAGCCCCAAGGGTGAGTTCTAAAAGTGGCATGACAGCCTTCAGAAAACTTATAAAAAAATATAACTCTCCTGGAAGAAATGGCAAAGACTGTAAATATTTCCAATTTTGGAATATGAAAATTAAAAAAAATGATATCTTAAAAGTACTGAGTACTTTCAATCTCTAAAATGTTTTTATAACAATTGCATAATTTTACGTTTAGAATAATTACATAATTTCTTTTAAGAACTTCATGAAATAGGTCAACCAGATTACATTAAATACATTTTAGGTATGAAAATTATAGACAGAAGCACTTAATATTTTGTTTAATTAAAATAAATTTGGACTAATTTAATAGCTTGAAATTAAAGTTCTAGATTTCTGGTTTTAGTCGATTTTACAAATATTTTCTGGAGTATGAACAATTAGACATGAAGCAAAGCCAAGCTTTGGTGGAAGAGCTGAATTTCCATTCTCCTGGCTATTTTATCCTAACGGGTCCTGCCAACAGAGCCCTTTACCTCCCAGAGAAGGGGGAAGGGGACAGCTTTGATGGGATCTCAAGAATATTCTGGGTTAAGCCTCCATTCCCCCAGCTGAACTCATGTGTTACTCAAGCGCAACTTGTAATTGTACTAGGAGAAGATCCACTCTTTCTTACCAAGTTGGTTCTTTTCTCTCCTCAGATCTGAGGAGCTTTTTAACAAAGGGTGAGATTTTTATGTCTTCCAGGACCAAAGCAAGTAATAGACTCTCTCACTGCCTCCTGGGACAGAAACAGGGATTGTGGATGTTCAGAATCTTGGCCTTGGGGACCACTAACAGGGATCTGGTGAGGAAGGTAAAGGGGAGGAAGAGGAATAGAGGGACACTTGCTTTCTAGGAGAGCCAGGAAATGCTCTTGTCACCGGTTATAAGAGAAGACGTTTCTTTTTCTGGTTCCAAGTTCAACTTCACACTCTCTCAAGCACTCCAGGTCATATCTGAGGTCTCCTGTGGGTCTCTTGTAACTACATAATTTCTGACCACTTATAGACTGTTGAAAAATATTTTGGGTGTTTCAGAGGTGAATTCTGTATTTAACACACTTGTTTGTGTCAAGGAAGTTTTAAGTACCCAGCTGACCTAAATGAGACGGAGTTTCAGAAGTCAGTGAGAGATGCATCCAGGTGCTTTGGAGTTAACCCTATCAGTTTGAAAAAGCTGTAGGTTCCAGGTCTGAAGGCAAGCTCAAAATCAACACCACAATTTGCCAACAGAACCCAGTCTAACCTCCACCTCACCCTGATATTTCCAAGTTTGTAGTTTGAAGCTTTTGGGGCTGTCAGAGTCCTTGGATGATTACCAACAAATTAGGAGAAGCAGGCTGTGTGTCTGATCATGTGGTCCCTGACTGCGTCTCTGCTGGTTGGCATAGGTTGACAGACCTGAGGCCCCTGACAGGGCTGCTGCTGATGCCCTGAACAATGCTACCACAGAAGCATAGCTGTTCCTCGACCCTTTGCCCCAGCAGCTGCTGGTCCATCTAAGGTTTCGGCATTCTCTTGGGTGGAAGGTGCTACCAACCAGGCAGCTTGGGCCTCAGGCCAACTTCTGGAGCCCATGCTGGACTCCCTGTGCTGGGCTCTGTTGAAGGCTAGTAGATCCTCGGCGTTCAGTTGGTGCCACTATGCTGTGAGGTTTTCTCTTTTTCTGCCTCAGCATCTCTCTGTTATCTTCCATTTGTATCAACAAACTACAAATGAGGGGCAAGCACCAGGCCTGATTCCAGAACTGTCCACAAGCCTCAAACGCAGACTTGTTTAAGTTCATGGTCAACCGGTAAGCGTAAAGAAGAGTGGCTCTACTGATTTTTTTTGCTTGGCTTTGGGGCTTTATTCCCTTACCTACCTCTTCAATGTGGATTAGAGGACGTCAGTACGCATCACCAGGGCACATCTCTTTGCACTTAGCTGTCTATGATTTATTTTCCATTCAAAGGCGACACTCAACAGAGGCTGTCCAGAGACTAGCTGCTGAGGGCTAGGAATGGTACACTGAAAGAAACATGCAGGGTCCCCGCCTGCTCATCACCGTCAGATATGAAGATGTCCATAGAACATACCCAGCACTTCCGGCCTGGCCACTCTCAAAGAAGCATCACATCACGTCTCTCTGGCGGAGACCACAGCTGCTTGTAGCTCCCCAGAGCAGCAGCCCTTCCTAGAGCAGCTGGGTGGGCACAGCCCGGTGCTGGGCCACCCTGCAGTACATAGTTTCCCTCCCTGAATTCCCATCAGAGAAGCTTCTCTGAGCTGCACACATCTGAGTTGGGGCACCCTGGATCTGGAGAGTTGTGCAAGTCCTACCATATCTGTGTGGCATCCGTGCTTCTTTTTCAAGGAAACATACTTTGGGGATGAAAAAAAAAAAAAGGAAATTACTTAGACTCTGATTTGACCGATTTTATTCTTGCTCTTTCTGTTTGGGACCTAATTGGATGATTTGGGGTTAAAGTGGAAGAGCCTAACTTGTCTCCCTGAGATAACTGCCCTCTCCAAACACCCCCCCCTCTTCTAGTTTTAACCATGAAGAGGCGTGCATATGGAGGCATGCTCAAAGCTCATAATGCAACTATTAATAGGGTTCAAGGACCCCCCAGGTGCTGCTAGGCTGGTGCTGCCCTGCAAAGATTGGTTGTCCTGCAAAGGTTGGTTGTCCTGCAAAGGTTGGTTGCCTCCGCAAGTTCATATTCTGAACCCCAAGCCCCAAGGTGGTCCTATGACTAGGTCATAAGGGCTCTTATCTCACAAATATGGTCAGTGCCCCTTGACAAAAGACTTGAGGGAGACTGTCCCCGCTGTCACTGCACATTCACAGAGGAAGAGCCAGCACTAGAAGTCACCAGGTGCCTTCAACTTGGATTTTCTAGTCTCCAGCACAGGGAGCAATAATTCTCTGTTTATAAATTATCTAGCCCAAGGTACTTTGTTATGGCAGAAAAACAGAGTGAGACGGCCAAATTGGAAGGATGATAAACCAATCAGGAGGAAAGATAAGCCTCATTACTTAATTTCTCAATTTCCCCTGCTTAGGACTGTATCCCTTACTGCCAAGCCCTGGAGTTTCTCTCGTCAACAGTCCCTGGCTCTCACAGATTTCCTGCTGGGTGGCTGGATGGATGTTCCCTCCCACTTGTCTGTTCTTGCTGAGTCTAAATCTCAGGAGCACATTTAATCTTCTGTAAATCACAAAGAGCCTCTGAGCTGGAAGAAAGCAAACCTTTGGATGCAGAAATGCTGAGTATTCAACATGGCTATGACTGTTCTATATGCATTTCTAAGAAAACCATAACTGTGCTGTAAAACATCTTTTAGTTCTGGGCTTTCTTTCCCTCTCCCAGTTGTCACCATACTCCCCTGGGAGTGACAGTGGCTCCTTGATATATAAACATGAGGTAAGATTTGTGGCGTTTCCTGCTCTGATCGTGATTAAAATTGGAGCATAAATATCAGTACCGATTACTGGCCTCATTAGCCTCGTTTTTTTTTTCCCCAAGAACATATTTCCTTTTGCAGTAAACACAAGCTGTTTCTGTCCAAGTATCTGATAACTACTGTGCTCGTGACACAAGCAAACTCCCAATAAATACTCCAGCAAACACTCGTGGTACAGGGTGCGATTACTCAGACCGTGGCTGCCAGGCCTGGGATGAAGAGCAAGCTGTCGTTCCTCATAGCAATAGCAAATTGACTAGCCATCCATCACACAGGGGGACTCAGTTTTAGGAAAGTCAGTTCAAAGGACCTTTTGGTTATGTGGAAGTAGACGTGATATTTGATTTTCAGTTGGAGATGATCGGGATCAGGCTGTTCTCTAAGTATGAAAGTATCTTTATTAAGTAAAGAGAATCTTTGAATCTGGCCTTGATAATGCCTGGGAGGTGAGCCTGAGGCTGAGATTGGGTTTGAAGCAGAAGTAGACTTTGTCTATTCTCTCTCTCTCTCTCTCTCTCTCTCTTTCTCTCTCTCTCTCTCTCTCTCTCTCTCTCTCTCTCTCTCTCTCTCTCTNTGTATATGTATATATCACATTTTAACTATCCATTTGCCAAATGATAGATATCTAGGCTGATTTTTTTTTCTGGCAATTGTGAATGGAGCAGCAATAAAAGTGGATTTGAAAGTATCTCTGCAGTAATATGTAAAGCCTTTTAGTTACATGCCAAGGAGTAGTATCCCTAGGCTATATGATAGACTACTTTCAGCTGTTTTGGAAACCTCTATACAATGAAAGTACCCTTAATACTTTTACCAATATAAATAAGTGTTCTCTCCTTCCCACATCCTTACCAGCATTTGTTTCTATTTGTTTTCTTGATAATAGGCATTTTGACAGTGGTGAGACAGATTCTCAAAGTAAATTTAATTTGCATTACACTGATGGTTAATGATGTTGAGCACTTTTAAAAATGCTAATTAGTCATTTGTATCTTTTCTTGAGAACTCTCTGATCAGTTCACTGGTGTGTTTTTATTGAGTTGTTTGTTTTCTTGATGCTGATTTTAATGAGTTCTATTCTATTTCTTCTAGATACTAATCCTGTCAAATGTACAACTGGTAAATATTTCCTTCCATTCTTTGACTGTCTTCTCACTCAAAACAGTTTCTATTGTTATACGGAACTTTCAAATTTCATGAGGTGCCTCTTGTCCCTTATTGTCTTTGTTATTTCAACAGTCTCTCTCTCTCTCTCTCTCTCTCTCTCTCTCTCTCTCTCTCTCTCTCTCTCTCTCTCTCTCTCTCTCTCTCTCCTAAACTAAGGCCAGATCAGTGTTTCTTACTTCAGTCACCTACTGACTTAGTCCCAGTAGCGACAATGACTCTGTGTAGTCTCCAAAAGCTGAGCTGAGCTGTTGGGGGTGTTCACTCCTCACCCTGCCATTCTCCCCTGATCTGAGTTAGAAATGAGAAATATTATTAACTTCCCATTAACACACATAAAATTATTATCATACGTTCTTTTTAAAATTTATTTCAATCAACTCTCTAAAGTCTAAATAACTATCCAAAGGCAATAAAAAGCTTTGACGGTGACTTGGTGCCCCTGTTAACTTCATATTCAGCTTTCATCCTAAACACGAATGATTTCAACGCCGTGCATTTATTGCTGAGATACAGGCATACCTTGAAAATAACCTTCCATTAAAGACAATGAAGAACACTTACTTTCTATTGGGACTCCATTTGTTAACCAGGCAATTCTGGGCTTGGGGTTGCCATTAGCTCTGCAGATGAGGGTGCCATTCTCTCCTGGGGATAGGACGAGGTTTTGAGGCGCTGCAATCCAGTATGGGGCCGCTTATTGAGAGAAGAAGAGACGAGGAAAGCTGACTCAAGAATACATGGACGGTTGCAGTAGATTATAAGGGTTTTGTAAAAGACCCATTAGTCTCACTTTTTAGAATGAAAAAAAAAAAATAGCATGAGTTGCCTCAAATAATTCTTTAAACTTCATAAAGAGTATAGAAGAACACATGACTTTGAACTCTGAACTTTCTAATTATAAAGTGGAGAAACAATTTTAAAACTGTTCATTATTGAAAAGTTACAAAGATAGAATACAGTGTCCTGTACCCCTTTGCTCATGTTCCTCTAATATCTAGGTTTCATGCAGCTGGATTGACTGTGTATGAGACAGGAAGTGACCATTGTCCTGACCTGGATACCACACCATCCCCACTGGTTGAGTCTCTTTAGCTACGGAGATCCCTCAGTCTCTTCTTTCATGATCTGACACCTTTGAGGAGTGTTAGTTGCCTTTGATAAAATGCCCATCAGTGCGTCTGTCTGATGTTTGCTCAGGATTAACTCCTGGCTTGGGGCTGTAAGAATATCACAGTGGTGATGGGTCCTTCCTGATCACCCCACTCCAAGACCACAGTGACTTCTTATTAGTGATGCTCGGCTTCATCCCTGGGTGAAGGCACTGTCTGCCAGGTACTCCCACTGAAAATGACTGCTCTCCAGTGTTCTCTGCTCTCTGTTCATTGGCAGCTGGTCACTATATAGCCCACTCTCAAATCCAGACATAGCTTCCATCTCCTCCAGGAAGGAATATTAAATAGTGGACATACATTAAAACTGTCCTAGCCATTAGGCATTTTTGTTTGTTTGTTTTTTGGATAGAGGAACACTTTGAAGCTATGCAAATATCTTGCTTCTCCTTAAAGTTGTTTTCAGCCTCCAATCTTAGAATTCCTCCCTGGATTTTGCCTGAAGCAGTTACCGCTGTGGGCCTTATCATTGTGATTTTCTATTTTTACCATTCCTTCTGCATTTACTAATTGCAGTTCTGTGAGGAAGAGTCGAAGGAGTGGTTTTTGTAATCTAGCCTGGATGTGATTACAATAGAAACGAGAAAAGCTTCATGACACCATGAACGTGAACATAAATTTAAACTCCTCATTACTGAAGAATGTGATCCAAGGCACAGTCAACGGGTGCTTCGGGGCCTCTACAGCAGCAAGGGGAATGCATCTGAAATACCAAAATACCTTTAACTGTGACCGTGATGGTGTGATGAATGGCTCCTAATGGGTTTTTCGCTATGCACTGGTAATTTCCAGAATCTGCTTCCGTAACCTGAGTGATCTGCAAGGTTTTCTTAAAGTTCCGATAGAACGTCCGGTTGACAGGAAGTGTTCCATCTTCTTTGATCCAGTAAATGATTGGCGTAGGCCTGAGAGGATAAATAAGGAATGATGTTACAAAGGATGAATTTGCCTGTGACTGTATCAGAGAGTGAATTCTCGTACACGTTTGTCATCAATTCTTTGTGCAAAGATAATGGCAAACATAGACCCATAAATTAACACCGCGTTTTTATATATAATAATACTCAAAACCTGTAGTTGGAACGATTTCAATTTTCAAATAACTAGGACTATACTAATTTTTGGCATACCGTAAGTTTGCCTTCAGGGACGCTGCAAGCATTGATCGCCTTACTAAAGGAACCTACCTAATCTTTTCTTTCAAGTTCTGGTCAATAAGATGCTCTTGAGACTTTTACTATGTCAATCAAGAGAATTATTATTAAATTAGTCATATTGCAATATAACCCCCCATCAGCTAGAGTCAAAAATATATAATGAATGAACTCATACACACACCAGTGTCTCTGGACTCGTGTATATGTTTCCCCATCAAATTGATGAAAGTTTCTGTTTTATGAGACACTCGTTATGGGAACTAAATGATTAATGAATTAAAATCCTTTTCTTCATTTCATTATTAGTGAAAATTTAAAATACCATTATACTAATTGATATATGTATACATATACATATATATATATATACACACTAATATATATTTCCAAATTACAACACCATACTTTACAGGGGAAAAAAATTCAACGTTCCTAATCTGAAAACATTGAATGTGCTAAGATAGAAAACTAGTTAAATGTCATGTTGGTGCTTGACTAAAAACCAAATGGAAGTTGGAAAAACTCTGTTAGGAAAGACTGATTTTATTAATTAAATTCATTTATTGACTTTACATCCCAGCTGCAGTTTCCTCTCCCTTCTCTCCTCGTATTCCCTCCTGCCACGCCCCCACCCCCAGTCCACTCCTCCTCTGTTTCTGTTCAGAAAGGGGCAGGCCTCCAATGGGTACCAACAAATCACGGGAACAGGGACAGATTTTTTTGAACATATCTTTAAGAATGTTGTGAGTTTTTAAACTGAAGATCTGTCACATTGGGTGTGATTTCCTGACTTGGCCAGCAGAGGCCCCCATGCGCATCCTAAAACAATCATTCCTGGATTAAGGAAAGTTTATGTGATCATTGGGTTGCCCAGGTCAGAGACAACACAATCATAAAACCTGAAGGCAGCATGCTCCTGGGATCCTACCCACAGCTGCAGTAGCTGTGCCCCCGAAAGGCACTTTCTCTATGCCAGGTACTATGGGAAGACAGTCTAGAACCTACCTGTCATATGGACCTGACTTCACAGTTGCTCTTGTACCTGCCTAAGGACTCCCGGAAATGCCTCTCAAAGACACCTGAGCTTTACAGTCTGTTCTCAGGAACTGGGGCCATGCCACGGTTTTGAGGCCTTGGCATGCCCTGTGTGCAAGTGATGACAGAGGCGCACCATGTGGCAGACCTTGATGAACCCCCAGTTAATCTGCCTTCAGATGCTGCCCTCCCCGCTCTAGACAAATGACCAAGGATAAGTAGATGTTATTTTTTTAACCTACCAAGTACTGAGGTTGTTTGTTAGAAAGGAGCAAATTTCTACCCCCTTCCAAAGGCACAGTGATCATAAGAAGATTATAGTATAGATAATGCAATATAGCGCAATCAAAATATTTTAACAATAACATAGATTTCAAAGTTTACTCAGGAAATGTTTGTAAAGTTTTCTGGATTTTGGTCAAATTAGAAGCATGAGACAATGGTTCTCCCTGGGGCAGGAACGCCTATTGGTATCTTATATTTGGTAAGAGGTGAGCATCGGGACAGAACGTGTTGACTCACAGGCCTTCTGCTATGCATTCCAGAGAAAGCACGTTTCCTCTTAGCTCCTCCTTGAGGCTTTCATTGCCCTCTGGAGTTAGAAATGTTGGTGGCCTTTCTTTACTAGGCTTAGCTGCAAACAAGAAATACAATATATGTTAAAATTGTGAACCTCTGTTTCTAGGAACACAGTCATTGTCAAGCTGGCTAGAATTCTAATCTGGTTTCAAATCCGCTTAATGCTTGTTTTGAAATTTGTTTAGCTACGTGTACACGCTCTCTCCTTACACTTATTCGGTGTGCAAGAAAACAAGCAATTTTGGTTGTGTGAGCAAACCAGCAAAAAGATTCCTTTTGTACATGTCTTTAATTTGGGTTGGGTCTTTATTAATTTTCTGCAGGCTAGTCAATTTTCAAAGCCACAGCAAAGAAAAGTCAGCTCATTAAACTACACGTCCCTTAAGACTGGTATTCAAGTGAAGCAAAAAGTGTGTATTTTGAAAGATGTTCAAAACTTTTTTCAGCAGTAAATTATTGTGGACAAGTATTTTGATGTGTTCTGGAGATAACAGTACAGCCAGTTCCACTGACTTATATCTGAAGATTGCTACACTTCAAGGTCTATGAAAAATAAAACGAAACTAGGCAATTGTTGACAGAGTTCTGGCAAATTATATGCCATGAATTAAGATTAAAGGCTGAAGGGTAAACTTCATGGCAGAGTGTTTGTGTAGTGGGTAAGATCCTGTGTTTGGTCCCTCGCTTTGGAGAAAGAGGAAAAGTGTATTAGCAGAGCTAAACACATTGAGATCAGTTTCTCAATGACAAAATAAAGAGGGTCTAAGTCAGAGAGCTTAGAACTGTTTATACCAAAGGCCTTCTGTCCGACAGACTCTTAAAAGTGTGGCCTTATCTACTGAGTCCTTGGGATATTTTCAGGTGGAAATGTCATAGGACTGGATTTTCATTGTTTCAACCACAAATGATCTACTTGATACTTCTAAAACCAAATTAAGAGGTGGTATGTAAATTTCTCATTTCTCAGAATACCAAGAAGGCATTGTTGAAAAAAAAAATTAGTTTTCTTAAGGATTTAGAGCTTGTTGGGGGACCTTCCTCCTCTGAAAACCACTTTGAGAATGCTCTTGATACCCGTATTTGGGAGGCTATATTAAACAAATAAAGATGAGAATTAGATCCTGCCATGTTCTCTAGTGTCCCTATCTCAAAGGCGAAAAATTAATGCAGCAGAAACTCTGTGGGAATTATAAAGCCCTTATGTCCCGAGTTTCTTATTTTTAGTGATATATTTTAGGTTTGACAGCCACGTTTTTCCTTAAGGAAATCAAACTCTTTTCATCTTAAAACAGTGAAGCTGAATGATGTATTTTTAAAAGTTTGCTCCCACAAAACTCAATGAGAGGGTTTCTACCAAAGCTAAGAATAATACAGTTGCTAATTCTCCTGAGTAATGTCATGTAAAACTTAAGAAGGGTTAGACGACTACTATGGGATGTATTCTATGTTAGTTACTGAAGGTGCAGGTGAGTCAGTATTCTAGTGGTTAATATGACCAGTCAGTTCATGTGTAGGTCATGCAGAAAGGTTTTAGACAGCACAAAATATGGGAAATACAATTCTGAACACACATGAAAGATTTTTTTCCAAAGCATATGAAATGGTTTACATGAAAAAATTATAACAAGTTTAATTATACATACACCATGGAGGATGTTTTAGTGACATGGTTGAAATCGTCTAGCTAGGTTTCATAAGATACGCACGTTGGTATGGTGATATTAGACATGTAATTAGAAATTTAATACAGAAACAAAGTTAAGTAGTCATGGAGGTGAAGTTAGTGAACTAAAGTCTACAATGAAGGAGAGAATATCGGTTACAACCAGTGTAACTCACCACCATAAAACTCAGTCTCACTCAAATTAGCAGCTATAGTGTCATTCAATTCATCCACTGAAATAAACAGAATATCATGAAGAGGGCAGAGAAGCGGGGAGAAGAGTCAAAAACCACTGGGCGATAACAACAAATCCCTACGTCTACGCTAAGTGCCAGGCAAACACAGTGCTTGGCATCCTACTGGCTAACTCGCCCGTTCATTCACTCTGCCACCCCCAACCACAACTTGAACTATAGGATAAATGCCAATCAAAGGCATTGTGAGGCAGAATGCCTATGCCAATGCTCAGAACACCACAGAGTCGGGAGGTTACCATAGAAACAGGACTGGCAATCAGCGAAAAATGTAAAGTACAATATTTAGAGTATGCATGCTTTTTCTAGCACATAAGCTAAGGCTTTAGTGAGCTTCACAGGGATTCTCCTGACCGCTGAACTGGTTTACCTCAGAGTCAGTACCATATTTAATTGCTAATCATTAGATTCACACATGTAAACACCACTGAAAGAGACCCAGAGGGCCGAGCTCTCACCTGAAATCACCTTCAGAGAAATAGGCTGCTTCTGTTGTATGGTTTGAGTGTGATTAAATCTGGCATAGCAGATATAGTCTTCACGGGTGTCTTCTGGGAGGACATTGGAGAAGTAAAGGTCTCCATTCAGGCCTTGGGAAACCCGCTCACTCTGTGGAAGTCTTTGGAAGGCTGGAGGAAGACAAAGAGTTACTCAGGTCATCCTATCTCCACAGCAGCCGGACAACCATCTACCAATACCTCTGTACTTCACCTGAAAAAATGGCATATTTCTCACAGGACATTTAGTAAAGAACACTGGTTTTATTGTTGTTGTTGTTTTATTTTTGGTTTTGGTTTGTGTTTTTAAGATGTGAGATACACAGACAGTCTATCAGACCTGGCCGATCCTGATTTCTGGGAGCTTGAAGCAGCAATAGGACTAGAGCTATGAAGTGAAATATTTGATTAAGAAAGGAGAAACAAGCAAAAAAAAATGCCCGGGAGCAGACTTGCATGTTTCCTGGCATCTGAATTGGTCTCTAATTGCAGACATCTCGGAAAACACATCAGAAAAGTTTGTAAGGATATTAACATGAGTTACATGTCATCATAAATTCGGCTCTGAGCAAGAAAACCATCACAACAAGTTACCTAATCTGGTGCAAGTTTACAGTCTAATCATGACTCATGCAGCAAACACCTGTTAAACATATAAGCAATGATGCCTCTATTTGATGCTATGATCTGCTGCTGGGAAGCCAGATCCGGTTTCCCTCCCCTCATGTACAGCTCATCCTGTGACATAGTCCACCTTCTACTCATTATATGTGTGCATAATGGCCATCTCCTTGTACTAAAATTATAGCTCCAGGAGAGAGGACATTTTTTGTTTAATGTTGAAGCTATGGACAGGTGTCCACCCTTTGGCACGGACTCCTTTAAACACTCTTGGAAGCGCTAAATATTAGCCATCAGCACACTACCATTCCAGTTTCCAGAATGATCGTCCTCCTTCAGGAGCAGGTAAGGAGCTAGCCTCGGGCACGATCAGAGGATTTCCCACATGGCTGAGGAATGAGGAGATGTGGGAACCACTGATCTGTGTACGATGTTACATCTGACCATCAGAAAGCATCCCGAAGCTCCTGATGCAGTTCCCAGAGCCTGAACTAGGATTTCTTCAGCTCCCAAGAGAAGGAGACTTAGACAAGCCACACGTCCCTGCAACATCAGGCTGGGTGTCATATCTGCTGATGGGATCTCTTCAGTTTGAGGCAAGGACGTGTGCTATTCCTTCAGCAGGTATCTGACCGAACATTTCTTTCACAAACTGCAAAATTGTAGTTAAAACTCAGCAGTAACTTTGGCAGTCAGAGCCCAATAAATTGTGTTACTCAAGTTCCCGTCAAGGTGGAGGCTGATGAGTTTATAGTCTTAAAACATTAATCCTCTTGGAGAGGAATGATTTTAAGATATCGAGGGAAAGAATGTACACTGGGAGCAAGGCAGGGTGGTGCGTGCCTGAAATCCAAGCTATTTGGAAGGCTGAAGAGGGAGCGCTACAAGATGAGGCAAGTCTGTCCAACATAAGAAGTTCAACATCAGCCTGGGATACACAGTGAGACCTTGACTCAGAAAACGTACATTTATCTAATGACTCCAAGGCACCGAAGACATGTATTTATTGTCTTTTGTTTCTCCTCCTGAATTGCATGGTTGATGGACGCTGGTAGCTCAGATGCGAGGTAACAGGACATCAATAGGGGGCATGAGGTTGCCCTTGAGCTTCTTTGTATTACACTTGGAGAAAAGATTATGCAGATAGGGATATTTTTATGATGCATAAAGCGAGAGTGCTGCAGGGATTCAGCTTCTCCTCATATTTCAGATGCAAGCTCATTTGAAAGGCGGATGGTTTGCTGCCATTTTAAAATTTATGAAATCATACATATTGTCAGCTGTGCCATGCAGGAAGCATTAGCGATATATTCAGATTATCTGGAGAGTTTCCATGTGACATATTTCTTTATTAAGCAAACAAGAAATCATTTCTAAATAAGAACGATTAATGCATCTAATTTTGATGGTGATATTTGAAGAGTGTTACTCTCGAAGCCATACATCACTCCTTTATATTGGATTTGTTGCTTATGCCCTCAAAATCCGTAAGAGCTGCCGCATAAATAAAGGGAGCTCATATTTGCTCATTTATTTGTTTATAGATTTCATTTTCACGGCTCGTGACATTTTCTTTGAGGGGTTTCATGAGCTAACAGTGAATATGAAGTGTTAAGACTCTGATTTTCCCCTCAGTGAGGTTTGCAGCCTGTGATGGCAGAGGGAGTCAGGTCTCTGAGAATAGGGTATTGGGTATTTTGTGCAAATATTTTGCATGCGTTTCCACCATTCCCTCTACAGGTAGGTCCCTTTCAAGGTCACAGCAGTGTTCTCTTGGCAGATCTAGCAGTCCTTTCCCAGGGCTCACGTCATCCATCAGCTTCACTCCGCAGCCATTACTATTTTCATAGCCTGTCTTCTCCACCTGCTCCGTGCAACACCGTGCTATGCCTCCAGGGACTCTTTCGGCCTCAGCCACTGCTCCTTCTCATTTGATTTTTTTCCTGTATTTCCCTAAACTCCTGCAAGGCTCTTGGTGTTAGCCCCGAGGCTCTGTTCTCTACCTCCAGTAGTGAATGTCTAAATTATCTCATTCAGCCCATGGTTGTTTCCCTATGCCTTTATACGTTAAGAATTCAGACCCTGCTGACTGCAACCCTGGCTTATCCCCTGCCTCACACCCCCGACCTTTGCTGAGCATACTGATATGAGCATGTCTTGGACCTCTTATGGCTCCTTAATTTCTAAGCCAAGTTTTGTGCCACCTCCGAGATAGCATGCTAACACAATAGCTTTGGTGGGCGGGGGGGAGGGGTTGTTAACAATAAATATTTCTGTCAATGACTAGGTCAAAAGTAGACACATTTGAAATTTTCTAGCAAATGTCATTTCTCCTTGTTCCAGTTTCCCTGCTGGGAAAATGGAGAGGATGACTGGATATGTCTCAGCTGGTTGTAAGCCACATCCTGGAGAATCCATGCGATATCCTTGGCAAAGGAACCCAGTAAAGGCTCAATAAATATTAGCTATTTGGGGTGATTAATAAAAAGAAACCCTAAAGATATGAAATAATAGAAGTAACCTAATTTCCTCCGCTTCTAGCCTTTGAGGTTTCAGGAAAGGAGTCTCCTATTTTTCAATCAGTGTTCAGTCTCTAAACTTTATATTCATCCCTGACTCTTTTCCACGTAGTCCTATCTCTCCCTCTGTGGAGGCTGTACCCTCACATCATTTCCAGAGTCAGACCCTCTCCGGGGCTACCTCTCAAGTCCAAGCACCATCAGCCATGCCCTGGATTGCAGCAATGCACACCTAATTGGCCTCCACTCCCCTCTCTTGTTCAAGTGCTGGGCATTAAACCTAGGGTCTTAGTCTAGGCTAGAGGTCTGCCACTAAGCCACATGCTGAGCCACATCCTGGCTCCTCCCCCAGTTCCCTTTTGCTCTCCACCAATAATGGAAATGAACCTTTTCCTAACCATTTTATTTAAGATAAATGTGCCCCTTCAACATTTTCCTATTTCATTCAGAGAGAAAGAAAAAAAGCCCTTCCCATTGAGTCCCTTTGATCCCCTGACACTGGCATCCTCCTTCCCTTGGCTCTTTTACTATGGTCACTTTTTTGTTTGTTTGTTTTTTCTGTTTTTTTTCACCCTAGGGATGCTTCTCCTTAGGGCTAGCACCAAAGCCCCCCTTCCACACAGATATGCCGGTCGTCACTCAAGTACCCTCTCAGCCCAGCCCATTAGCTCGGGGTTCACATTTGTGCTCTGTTTTTTTCCATAAAATTTAAATTGTTGACTGATACAGATTTTCAAGATGCATTTACTGTCCGCTTCCTTTTCTGTCCCAGATGACCCTTGTTGTCTAGGAAGGAAGCCTCGTTGGCACTGGGCTCGTATTTTCTGTTGTTGTTCAATCTCTAGCAGTGCATGGAGCAGTGAATGAATTGGCGTGGCATGGTACTTTCGTCACTAAGAATGAATGATGTGGCATGGCACTTAACATCACTAAGCAGCTGTTTCTCTGAGTACCTATCGATCATTTCCGAAGCACTTTATGACTCTTAAGAGGAAGTAAAGTGTTAGGACGACTAATAACTACAAAAAGATTGCAGAAAACTCATAGTGATAAGACTTACAGTTATCCATCCAAAATATTATGGCTGGTGGTAATCCAATTGGAGGCCTACAGGGAAGTACCAATGACTGACCATTTCGAAGTGTGATTGGTTCAAGTCTTTCTTTGGTCCACAAGGGTGACCCTGTTAAGTAAAAACCAAAAACTTTCAGAGTTATGCCTTCAAGAGAAAATAAAAAGAAGACAACAATACAAAGAAAGGCACCCAAAGTTTTTGGAAAACAGTAACTTAGAATTTACATACATTGAATGATAAACCTGCTTTAAATAAGGTATTAGAGACTTTTTTGCAGAAACCAAACTATAATAGGAGAAAAAAGAAAATTTTCGTTTATTATTATATGCTAACATAATAACATATAACACAATTATATATATAATATATGTTAACATATAATAACAATTATTATCATTGATAGTGTTATTCAAGCCACTAATCCATTATCTAATAATTTACACTAATACACCAATAAGATACTGGCTTTGATACAAGCATGTTCTCCATAGAAAATGGGAAAAACATAAATGTCAGCATATTTGCTAAATAAGTAAATATATACACATCTGAATTTCATATAATATTATATATGTATACTCACTTATAAGATTTGAAAGAGAATATATATCATATATTGATATCAATTTCAGGCTAAGCTGGTTTTATATACATATACACAAGGAAAGAAAAATACCAAGTGGAAGTTATTTCTATGAATGGAAAGTCTCATGATGAATTGCAATTTCTTTACCCATAATTTCAAAAGGTATGTACTTTTAAATGTTTTCAAAATAACCACAACTGCAAACGGTCACTACTGTATAGAGGTCACATCTCCCTTACTGGATGGGCGGACGACAATGTTATTAGAGACAGCAGCGCCACGCTCGTTCCTTGCTGTGCACTGGTAGACCCCTTCATAGGTCTCTGCTTTCCCCTCCGTGATGATGTTGATGACGAGTGTTCCTGAGCCAGGCTTCATGGTGACCAGAGGGTCTTTGTCGATGTCAAAATGAGTTCCATTGCGAGTCCAGGAGAAGCTACCCAACAAACACATCAAGGGTTATGCTTGTTAATGGTCTAGAAAATAGGGTTATAGTCCCCATAAAAAACCTTGGGATTTATGGGGTTCTGAGAATAATTGTTAGATTTTAATATTTAGTAAAAGGCCCCCTTGCTTAAAATATTAAATTAAATCACAACACTGAAAAAATGTGATGTTTTTACATTTTGAGGCATATAAATCTTTAAAAATCAATTCTAATTTAATACAAATTGCCTGCCACTTATCTAAATAAAATGAAAAAAGAGTACTTTAAGGTATAGTCTCTGAACTTTATTAACATTTTTATTGTAAACCCCATTGTTCATGCACAGTTGAGCTGTCTATAAAAATGTATTCTAGGCTGAAATGGAACAAGAAAGGCGTCCATCAGCACTGTATTATCTTTGAGTGGGAAACTGACCAGATCTGTTTCAAGTTACCCAAGTACAAACTGGAGGCTAGGGGAAGAGTTAAGACTTTGGGTATCTTGAATGTTATTATTAAATGTTTTAGTTATTAAAAGTGGCAATTCTACATAAGGTGTATTTTTAGAATTTTTTTTATTTTTTTTAAATATTTATTTATTTATTATGTATACAATATTCTTTCTGTGTGTATGCCTGAAGGCCAGAAGAGGGCACCAGACCTCATTACAGATGGCTGTGAGCCACCATGTGGTTGCTGGGAATTGAACTCAGGACCTTTGGAAGAGCAGGCAATGCTCTTAACCACTGAGCCATCTCTCCAGCCCCCTATTTTTAGAATTTTTAATTCTAGAAATAATTATACAAATTTTTAGAAGATATGCCAAATTGCCAACCCAAATTTATTTTTCTCAGTTTAGTTCTATAAAAGATGCCCTCCCCTAGACGCCACAGTGCTCTCCTGATTAAATACTTCCTAATTAGTCATACCCCGGTGACGGCAAGATGATGGCGACGTACACATCTAACTTCCCTGGGTTTTCCAACTTGAATTTCTTGCCTTACTACTTATGCTTGCTAAAGCTAGGGCAGGCAGTAGCAGTGGTATAGGCTACAGGCATCTCGTGGGCAGAGGGCAAAGATACTGGGAGCATCCCACAGTACACAGGGTCATTCTCACAGCGAAAAGCCATCAGCACTGACCACTGACAAGAAGTTCTGCCATGCTTGTATGGCCTTAACTAAGAGTGAAAGAGGCACGTGGAGGCCTGTTTGAAAATGGTTTTCAGCAGTGTCGGGGCTACTGTTCCGGAGGAGAACATTGATGGAAGTGTTGCCGTGCACAGGTATCTAGAACCAGGCAGTTTTTGGTCCCCCTCAGGTTCTAGTTTAAGAAGCTTATAATAGGGCTGGAGAAATGGCCCAGAGGTTAAGAGAACTGGCTGCTCTTCCAGAGGTCACAACCATCTGTACTGAGATCTGGCGCCCTCCTCTGGCCTGCGGGCATACATCGAGGCAGAATGTTGTATACATAATAAATAAATAAATAAATAAATCTTTAAAAAAAAAGAAGCTTATAATATATAGATGTGCAAATAAAATACCTAAAACACTTATCCTCCTTATTTTTAAATTAATGTACCTAGCTACAATTTGACAGTCATAAGATTTAACAGTTACAAAGCAATAGTTATTTAACGACTTATATTTTAACAATCAAGCGCTATAGAATTCTCCATCCTACTGAACTGTTGTGTGACTTTCTGGAGGGCTTTGGGTGACAGTCCAGCAGATTCCCCTCAGTCCCCCATCTTTATTATACTTTGTTTAGACTGAATTATGAAGAGCCCTGATAAGTACAATGAACATGGCCAGTAGAGAGATAGGAAGGAGAGTTTGTAGAAGCCATCAACTCAAACTGTTCTCTGTCCTTTCAATCTATAAGAAAAAGAAGCCCAGGTAAAAGGTGTTCTCCCTTATCAGAAACCACTGTTGTCAGAACCAAGATTAGAGGGTCTGTATCACCTCAATACTTATGAGCATTTTACAGAAAAGCACAAATAGGAAAGTGCAAAAATCTGGGCTATAGCAAATGAGCTGGAATTAACCTGAGAGATGAGACAATGAACCTGTAACTGGAACTCTAGAGAGATGCAGGACCTAAGAAGACACATCAAACACCTTCAAAGGGCAGAAATGAGCGGGGAGTTAGTTAGAAAAACAGAAGAGTTTGCTGTCGGTCATATCGAGAAATATCCAACTAAAAAAGACTTCACTCCGCATGATCGTCTCTATTTTATCAAAATCCCAAACATTTCTATGGTCACAGACATTGCCCACTATTTTAAGTGCTATCCGAAGCAGGAAGCATGCTTACCTGGGAGGAGGCTTCCCTTTAGCCTCACACTGGATCACAATATTCTCCCGAGGGTCAACAATGTAGTCCTTTGGTGACTGTTGAGTGATGGTTGGAGGCTGCACCACTTAATTGTAAAAGGAGGGATAATGTAAAGAAATAAACGATTTACTATCGTGATAGCAGCCAGTTTTTCTATGTTAAAATCATTTGCCTTAGACTAAATATGCCACAAGTATTCCTAGTAACTTCTGCTGTAGCAGGAAATCCTCATTAAGTTTTCAACTAAAACTCATCTAAAGTCGGGAAGTCAGGACACAGCTTCCCTTTGGCAACATCACACACACTTGCAAATTTCATTTTCCCCTACCGAACGTCTGAGAAAATGACTACTAGTCCAAATCTGATATTCAAACACTGTTCCTCTGATGTAACAATGAGAAATTCACGGTTCTTCTGTTCCAATATAAGTCATGAAGTAGATTTGACTCTTAGAATACAGTCACTGACACCGAGCTCATTAATATGCTAATTATGTAAATTAATATATGTCAGGGAAACATACTTTTGACATGCTCATATTTAAAATACTGTTAAACCAGAGCTTTGACATGCCTTATCAGAGCTAAGAGGTAGATGAGTTAGGGATGAAGAGAAAACACTCTTATTTCAGCAACTGATGGGATTGAAATTCTCCTTTTTAGGAGATGATGTTTCTATTGTGTTCTCCCAATTATTACCTTTACTGTGAACCTTTGAAGGTAACTGTTTTGACTCAGAGCAATTCAATCTAAGGAGAGCCAGTCTAGAGACCTTGAGCATTATCCACATTGCTCTAAGACCACCACAGTGTCTTTCGTCTCATGAGATCATGATTCTTGTTAGAATGGGAAGGCACTAGAGAGACCAGAAACTTCACCCTCTGGCTTGACCAGGAAGGCACCAAGCAGAGACTAATTCTCACCTAGTTTCTGCTTGTGCTAAGCACATCTTCAGCTGAAGTTATTCACAGAGTCGTAGTTTGCAACAGGAGCAATTTGTCCCTTGCTTTTCCAGGGAGGGACCTTTGGCCATCTGGAGAAAGCTCCCATTGCTACAACTAGGGTTGGAGTAGAATGGCTACCTGTAGTAGGTAGAGGCCAAGGATGTCTTACCAGCCCCAGTGCTAACATGCTAGGGCTGAGAAGCCTGGCGTGTGCTGCAAAGTGAGGGGCATCTTTGGGACTGTGCAACGAAGCAGTCCTGCTCCAGCTTGCTTTCCCCCTGCACCAGGCACTTTGGGCCCTACAGCCTTCATCTTGTCAATTTCCAACACTAGTCAGCAGTTCTGTCTAAAGGTTAGTGAATCTCTGTTTTTCATTAGCTGGGAGACTTAAGGCTCAACTCCTGTAGCCCTCAGAGAAGAGGGAGGTTCAAAATTTGACCTGGCTTCCAGCTGTACCTGGGAGGATTAGTGGCACACTTTGTGTAAAAGTTTTCATAGATACCAATGCTAGAACTGTTCAGTTTTGCTTCGGGATTCCGATTTTCACCAGCTTCATTTTGGAGTGATCAACCTCAGATTTTGGGAGTACAGCGTTTGGGATAATGAAAGGAATTCTTGAGGTGCTACACCATCAAAGTGGTGAACAAAGACATTGATAGAAGGGATTCTTAGGAGTCATTCAGTTCAGTTCTTCTTGCAGGGGAATGAGGTGGGGTCCAAGAGTGTCAGACATGCAAATTTGGTTGCAAATGCAGGGCTTCCCCCTCCTGTGCCTGCAGCTGTGCCATCTGGACGTATCGTTTCTGAGCGGTGCTTAGGTCATATGGCAATTAACAAATGCTTTGTAGTAATAAGTGACTTACCAAGATTTCTCTGTTTAATTCAACATCAAAGGAGAATATCTGAGAAGGGATCATCTCTTCAGTAGATGATAAAGACTACCCAGCTGTCGGAAGCAGCAGAACTGTTTCCTCCTCGGAAGCCTCCCATGAACAATTAATTAGCCGAAGTGTTTTGCCTTCTGTGTATGTCAAAGCAATCTTCTAATTTGCAGGGTTGTTCTACATACAGCACCTAGGACCACTCTTCTACCCAGTTCTCAGTGCTAAAGTCATAGAAGAGGAACCTGAGAGAGGCTTCTGTACGCCACCCACTTTCAAAACTCTGCAAAAGATGTGTATCTGTTCCAGCTGACATTTGTAAAAGAAGAAAAAAAAAACGAACCTCCCTACAAGGTTTTGAATTCTCTCATTGAGTTACATCAGATGCAGATACAGCTAGTATATTAGTAGAAGAGCAGGTTGGCCAAGGTAGCATCAGAATCTCTGTTATTCATGCAGGTTATATAGTACGTTTGTACCTTAGCATTCAAATGAGGCATTTGGCTACAGAAAACAACATGCTTAGACAGACACTCATCACAAAGCATGGTGTTGTTTGCTTGATTCACACTCTTAGTTCAAGAAACAAAGACACAGCCACATCTTCACACTGCCTAGTAAATTGTGGAAATTCACTTACAGTCGTCAAGAAGCTTTGCTTTTTTTCCCCATCAGAATCAGCAGGTGAGTGGGCAGAGAAGATTAAAGAAAATCAGATGTTAGTGATGAGAAAGTTAGCACCCTAAAGATAAAAAGGGCATCTTGTCTACTTGGCTTGACCTAGAATAAAAAACCGTACTGTAAAAGTTGCAGTTGTGACATTACAAGAGAAAGAAGCGGGCACTCATAGTTTTGTCTGCCCCTGCAGCAGCTTCTTACATCAGCATATGGAAGAACAAAGGCGATGCTGTAGGGAAAAAGGGGGGGGGGGTACTTCCAGGAGTAGGCATAGCCAATTCCATCCCATACATATTGTGCTGCACTGATAATTATGGTCAATTTGAAAAACAGATGAAATCTACAATTAATCCGAGTTGTCACTTTCTGTGTAGGGCCTGATCTTATTATCCCAGACACCAGGACGCATACGATAATGATGCCTAACAATGAGAGATTTCTATGGTTACTCTCCAAGATGGCTTTATGTCATTAGCCTATCTCTGCTTCGGCATTCTCGCTCACCCAGATTGAGGATGTAGGATGACCGTGGGTACCGAAGAAAGGGTGTGAGGAACAGGGACATGTTCACATGCATTTCCAATCATTCTGCAGGGCTGCCTGTCACTACTACTTGCAAAGGTTAATGCAGGAGAGCCTAGGCTACCCGTGACTTTATTTTCATCACGGTTGTGCCTCTTCTCCATTAGCTGCCATAATTGAGTTAGCCCTAGGTGCCTGTTTCCCCTGATAGTTAGACTGAGCGGTCAGATTAAGGAAGAATATATTTAACACAAGAGAGAACAAAAGCATTTCCCTCACTGCCTTTCCCTCTTTCCAGCGCACCTATTAGAGCAAATGCTTACTTAAATATTCCTGCTCTGATAGGCTCAGGCAAAATGAGCGTTTCAATTAAATGCACATGTACATATTTTAAATTAAGGTCACTGGATGAATAACTCTTAAAATGAAAATGTGGCATTCTGTTGGGCTTTAGTCGTGGAGGCGCACGGCTCAGGCAGTGAGCAGAGTGTGCCAGAAACCCTGCCTTGTCTTCCAGGGCCCCAGTTGCAATTTCTGTGGTGGAAAAGGAGACCCCAGCAATTGCATAGCCCCGGGAAACAGCTATCTTTCTTGCACCTTAGAAAGCTTTGCCAAACAGATGTTCTGCTCAGGAAGCTAATGGCTTTAAAGAGGTCATGTAGATTGGGGATAAAGGGTAAATCAATTGTGAAGTACAGTAATTGCTCAGATTTGAAATTCTGCTTCACGCAGCAGTAATATATCCAGCTGGAACCCAGTGTTGTCTTCATTGTCTACAAACAAACCACTCGGGCCAGAAAGGCTGTGGTGCACGTTTTACTTTTGGGGAAATAAAGGAGAGATGCCCCCGTTTGCTGCTTCCTTTCAGGGATTTTTCAGGTTCTGCCTCGGTATCAAAAATTTTTCACCTTGGTCTGTGGCCACATAGTTTAATCCAAAGCAGACTATTCAGAGGGCTTGTCGATAACAATCTATTCTTATAATTAAATTCACACTGAGTGCACAAAACAAGAAAGTGCAATGAGGTTGTTTGTCTGAATTAGAAGAAACAAGGTATGAAGTATGGATGATCTGGGGACACAAAGGGGCAGAAGGTTGGCGACACCATCCTCTGTGTTCTTGTTTTCTTTCTCTTTTTTTCAGAGATGCCTCAGCAATGAAGGGAGACAAGAAGTGAGGCTCTGCATCCTTCTTGTAAAGTGGTTCACACGGTCCTTTTGCAGAGGGCTGCCCACTGGGAGGATCAGGGCAGTTGCACCAGCCCCTTCTCAGACCACTCCCACCACTGGACAGAAAAAGACACCTGAGGCAAAGAGAGATGATGAGAAAGAGAGGACAGCTTGTCCAGCCATCTCCACGGCCTTCCCTACAGTGTCTTCGTAAACACCAGGTGCTGAAGGTGAAAGCCAAATTAATTTTGATTAGCTTTTCAGTGCCTCGCAGAGACTTTCCTCATCAACACAGTTCAGGGTGGTGGTAGATACCGGGAAGGCTTGCCTCCTGGCCTAAGAGATGCAAACCGCTAATACTCACGATCAAGAGGCACATCCAGGGCACCAATCATCTGGCACAGGAAGAGAATCAGGGTCACTCTGCCTGCGGAGAGGTGCTTCTTTTTCGGCATTATTTTAAGCTGCATCAGCTCTTCTCCTGCTGAGACCCACACACGGAATTTCCTTTTCTTCTCTCGCAGAAGAGTCGCGGGCAACGCTCAAATAATTTCTCATGCAGGGAACTGAATAAGGGCGGGATAAGAACAATAATTAGGATGCATTAGAAGTTGGAAGCGAAGAGCGAAAAGGAGCAGCTCAGAAAAAAATCCGCTCTCCATTATACATGGATTCTAAAAGGGAATTAAGTTTTAAATATTTAACTCAGAGACTGGAATAATCATTTATTCATACATCTAAACTCAGCTCAGAAATATTTGTGGTGATGTCAAGCAAAATCTGCACCCTTTCCTATTATTATGATTTTTCCATTTTTAAAGTGTTAAGAGTGTTCATGCTCTCTGAAGGTCTTCTTTGGAGTCTAACCTGGAACTCACTCTGGCCTCGAACTCACAGACACCCGCCTATCTCTGCCTCCTGAGTGCTGGGATTAAAGCCGTGTGCCACCACCACCTGGCTCATGTTTTTCTTAATACTTCAGGAAACCTTGGCTGTGAAGCCAGTTGGAAAGTGAGCACCCTGAGACTTCAGAGGGGAGTCCTAATGGCTTCTTCATTCTGAAGATGCTCGCTGGGAGAGTTCTGGGCAGGACCACAAGTCTCCCCCTAGCCCTAAACACGGATGGAACAGATAAACACTGACACTCGGGTCATCCCCATTTCTTAGCTACGCGGCAATGTCAGAGCCAGCTGAACTCTGGGTTCCAGGCTGTCCTCTGCTCAGTCTCCTCAAAAGTGTTGATCAATTATTTCCTCAACGGTCTTCTTCGGTGAAATATTGGCAGTCACCATTTCAGTTCACGCTGTCCTCTAACAGGTGTTTGAAGCCCCTCGATGATCTGGACTGATTGATCCACCAGCTTCCTTTCACTTCCTTGTAACTATTCTCTAGATGATTTCTTTCTTTGTTAGTCCTTCAGTTTGCCTTGAAATCCCCCACCCCTTGTCTTATTTTATCCCATCCCTTCATTTGGAAAGCCTTATCCACCTTATTACCTTATAAAAGTTTTATTTGCTTTTCACAAATCACTTAGGAGGTTCTTTTCGAGAAATGTCAGCTGATCGTCCAGACTAGAAAACATCCAAGAATCACCTCTGAATTCCTGAAATTTCTCATGGTATACATACCGTCCATGTATATATATGCATAATGTGTGCATGTTCGTATGTAACATGATCTCTGCACCTGGGAGGCTGACACCGGAGGATTGGTGGGAGTTCAAGGCCATCTTGAGCTACACAGTAGTTTCAAGTTCATCATGGAGCTACAAGTGATACCTTTGTCTCAAAACAAATGAAACCATAAATAAATAATAAATAAATAGGCTTTGTGGGCCGTGTTTCTCTCGTCTTACTGTGCTGTCAGACACTGCACTGAAAACCTGACTTCAGCCATAGAGAAAGGTATCTGTCCCGCCTGGGAAGAGAGCTTGAATGTGACTTCTCAGGAAGCAAAGGCACCCATGAGCAATGGCTTTTGCGCGGGTAAAAGGGACCAATACCATTATAACCTAAAATTAGCTACTACAGGTTTCATTAGTGAATTACGTGTGGAACTTTTATTATTTAAGTCGTCGTGTATTTTCACTATATTCATCTTTTCTACCAGACTCCTGCAGGCTGGAGACTGACTCTCCACTACACACTACTGCATCTCAGCAGCCTGCTTGGAGCATTGGAAGGGAGCAGATAAATATCTGTGGTAGCAAAATGAAGGGAAGAAAGAATAAAACAAAAACAAAATGGAGCCCTGAGGTCATTGAACTGATTGTATTCAAACAGCTTGACCATGGTATAACCCGAACTATTTTTATCCTATAATGTGCAGTTTACAGACCAGAATCTAATCATCATAGATAAATCAGTTGTAATATTGGCTCAGCACATGGGATAAAGCACAGACATATGAAAAAAAAAAATGGAACAATGTGGATAATGTGTGTTTGGCTAGCAATAGAATTCTGATTTAAATTTGGCAGAACAGGTACAAAGAAAAAACAGCTAACTTTAGACATTCTGCTCATAAAATTATTACCTTGTGACACCAACATTCATACTATGTGGTTTAAGATGCAGAACGTCTGTCTTTTATTCCATAATAAGTATTCATCTCTAGGTAGCATCAAGAAGCAGGAAGAGCAGCTTGCTCAAGAATTTCTGACCTGAATTTAACGCAACTCAGATTTGTGTGCACACAGCACATGGCCACCACACAGTCACATTTCCTCAGGTTGCCTCAGCTCTGGCTGCTTTGGTGCTAATTCTAATTCAGCAAAAGCATCAGGAAAAGTGAAAGTAAAGGGCACAGCGTGCACCACAGCAAGCAGCTCTTACAGACAACGCATGCTGAGGAAATCCGGCAAAGCTCAGCTCTGGAGCGCACACCATTGCCTGCCTGGTTTATGAAGCGTGCAAATTAAGTTTATTAGATTTAAGCACTCAGTTCTCTAAACAGGTACTAGAAAACCCGAACACTTCCCCAAATCTATACAATCTATACCACAATGCCTGTATGATCTTAAGCGGCTATGCATACACAGTTCCTAAGTTCCTCACACCTTACATACTTTGCCTGAAGTCTTAAGTGTTCATTTCCTCCCCCACTGAAAGAAAACAACGAGACAAGCTACATATAAGATAAAACATCATTTAGCTAGCTTCATCCTTTCAATGTATACGTGAAATTAATAAGTCACATATAAAATTACGGTGCATAGGATAAAGAAAAAACTCAAGTTTTAGAAAAACCGAGAGAGTACTTACTGAAAGACGGATGAGCAAATAAATCTTCACACTATTGGGAAAATAGGAACTGGAAAAAAAATGTTCTCTCCTCAAAGACTGGAAGTTAACTGCACCATTAGCCACAAGATCCTCTCCAGTGCATATGCTCTTAGGGAAGGACAAAGCAATGGCTCAGCCCATCCCTGACTCCTGCCCGAGAAAAATCACCCACTCCTCCTCCAAATGCCCTCACAGGTGACATGCCAGGAACTCAAGGGCAGCATTAAGTCTCCAGCACTCAATCAAACTGAAAATCAAAGACAGCGACAGAAAACTAAGCTTTCTCTCAGGGAAAAAAATGCTGCAGGAAGGGCAGCTCCTGCTTGCATCCTCAGTGTTCCCCTCAATACCCCGCCAGGAGCTACGTGCCTTGTGTTCACCTTGGGAAGGGATGGCTATTCGACAGCAAGAACCACAGACCAAACGGGATTCTTCGTAATGAGATTTAAAGGAATAAAATCTCAATGTGAGATAGCACCCCACTGAAGGTTAAGGAGCGTGGTAGCTTGAAATGTTGAAGAAAGTATTTACTATTGGACAATATAAAGCCTTAGAAAAGATTATTGTCAGCTCTGATACGTCAACTTTATATGGAAAAACAAAAAACCCAGGATAGCCAAAACAATCTTATACAATAAAGGAACGTCTGGAGGCATTACCATCCCTGACTTCAAACTCTATTACAGAGCTACAGTATTGAAAACAGCTTGGTATTGGCATAAAAACAGAGAAGTCGACCAATGGAATCGAATAGAAGACCCTGACTTTAACCCACAAACATATGAACACCTGATTTTCGATAAAGGAGCTAAAAGTATACAATGGAAAAAAAGAGAGCATCTTCAACAAATTGTGCTGGCAAAACTGGATGTCAATCTGTAGAAGAATGAAAATAGACCCATATCTATCACCATGCACAAAACTCAAGTCCAAGTGGGTGAAAGACCTCAATATCAGTCCAAACACACTGAACCTGATTGAAGAGAAAGTGGGAAGTACTCTAGAACACGTGGGCACAGGAGACCACTTCCTACGTATAACCCCAGCAGCACAGACAGTAAGGGCCTCATCGAATAAATGGGACCTCCTGAGACTGAGAAGCTTCTGTAAAGCAAAGGACACTGTCGTCAGCTTGATAATTAAGATCATCTCTGCTGTCAAAATGATCAGCAATAAGATAAGCAGTGATGCCCTTTAGTTTATAATTCTCTTAGTTCCATTAAAAGTGTATTTCACATTATGTATGGAACCTGTAAAATGGAAAACAATACAAAAAAAATCTTCAGCATCCTTTTCTCCACCATAGAAGAAATGTAATTCAAGCTTCCTTTACTTTTGCCTCAACTTCATAGTAAATCATGAAGTATGATTTACTATATAGTTTTAAAGAATAATCTTAAGCTTTGGCAAAAAAATTCATGTAAAGTCCAAGAAAAGTAGCTGACCTGTGACTTAAATAAGACATCTTCGTTTTTAGAAGTAAAATCTTGTTTTTCTCCCAAATGAGAACTGCAGCTGTTTTAGGTTTTCAAAGTCAGCTCTCCAGCAGGACAGGGAGGCTGAGCATCATTTGCCATTTTCTCTGCATTGCTCGTGCTTTTCCGCATCCAGCACGGGGCAGGCGTCAGTGCTGAGTGCACACAGCTGATCTATGCTGTCCAAACCAGTGAACAAATATGCCCCGGCTCCCATGGTGCCCTAACTACCGCCACGGATGGAGCATCAGCAGCTGGCCTTTCTGGCTGCCCAGAATGTGGATGTGCCTCGTTCCTGACTGCTCTCCAGTTTCCAACTCAGGGATGGTCACTTTAACGTTGTGATATTTTTACAGTAAGGGCTAAGCACACGAATGCTACCCCTAGCTACTCCTGTGCCTGTCAGTCACAGACTTGTATCTGAGGCCGGGGAGAAAAGACTAGACATAAATCCTGCACAAAGTCACAGTTACATCAGGACAACCACAGGTCACACAGAGCTAAGGTGTGGACCGCAGAGACTTTAAGGATCTCTACAAACAGCATGGCAAACTGCTTGAGGCCTTAAAGGGCATGTTTCTCATTTCCCTCAGTCAAAGGAATAGGACAGCAGGGATTCAACAAAGAATTGGTAACTAAGATTAAACAATATTTAAGGACAGATAAACAATGATTTAGTTAGCCCTAATCCTTAGTTAGGGATTCTACAAAGAATTGGAAACTAAGATGAAACAGTATCTAAGGACAGATAAACAATGACAAGCGTTTTAGTTAGGGCTTCTGTTGCTATGACAAAACACCATGGCC